GTCAGGGCTCCTTTGGCTTATTTTTGTATGCCCTGCCAGATGTATCCTTAATCCTGGTCACAATCCCAGTGCTTCTTCCTGCTTCTCTAACGACTTCCCCAAGGAGCCCCCCACCCCCGCCTCCCTTCATGCTGAGACTCCCACGTCTGGCCAGGAAGGCGGTGCTGAGATACGGCTGCAGGCTGCGAGCGAGACGAAGGCGCCCCACCTGAGCTGGAGCGAGGGGCAGACGGCGGCCGTGGGGATGTGGACATGCACTTCCTGAGAAGCTGCAGTGACCTTTCATGGTTTGGGCCCGGCAGACTCCCAGGATTCCCAAGGGCCTGAGGTCTGTTGGCACCGGGGGACCAGGGACTAAACGTGCCCAACCCTGGCCAGGCAGGCCAACGAGTGAAAGCTCCTCTGTGCCAGGCCTCTCCGTTTCTTCTTTATAATCAAGGAGCTTTTCAATTACAGCATTTCCCTCTTTCCAGAAAACCTCAGTGCAAGAGCCTTCTAATCTCCAGCCGGTCCCGGGGTGGGGGCAGCATTCTGAGACTGGCAGGGCCCCTGGGGAGAAGGCAACATGTGCCGTGCTGGGGGGGGGCTGGGCACAGGGCCTGGCACGGAGCCCGGGCATGGCAGCGAAGGCTGGACAAAGGCCCCGCAGCTTTGCTCTCCTTGCCCTACTTCAATCCAAACCACTCAGGGCTGACCAGTCATGCATGGCTGCCTTCTGGCACCAGCCTTTGCTTTTCCACTTAATACCGGTACACTGCGACCTCGCCACAACCCCTGCTCGCCAAGTCCTCGAAATGAAAGCTGGCTTCAGAACGGCTGACATCTAAGACTGGAGGGTAAAAAGGTGGAAGGCACAATGAACTCAGAATAATGCACGATGCAGTCCTGCAACGGGAAGGAGGGAAATAACTGCCCCCTCGATGCCCACCCCTCCCTGGCTGGATCAAAGGGGAGGAAGGTGGGGCCAGAGACTGCCCAGCAGGAAAAGCAAGGGGAGAAAACACAAGAGCGATGGGTCCCCAAGGTGCGTTGTCTGTGCAACAGTAAGATCTAGGAGGGGCCCTCACTGGTTTGGCTCAGTGGATAGAGTGTCCCTCGGTCTGCGGACTGAAAGGTCCCGGGTTCGATTCCGGTCAAGGGCATGTACCTTGGTTGCGGGCACATCCCCAGTGGGAGGTGTGCAGGAGGCAGCTGAATCGGTGTCTCTCTCACCGATGTTTCTAACTCTCTATTTCTCTCTGTAAAAAATCAACAACAACAACAACAACAAAATATATATATATATATTATTTTTTTAATATATTTTATTGATCTTTTACAGAGAGGAAGGGAGAGAGATAGAGAGCCAGAAACGTCGATGAGAGAGAAACATCGACCAGCCGCCTCCTGCAACACCCCCCACTGGGGATGTGCCCGCAACCAAGGTACATGCCCTTGACCGGAATCGAACCCGGGACCTTTCAGTCCGCAGGCCAACGCTCTACCACTGAGCCAAACCGGTTTCGGCGAAAACATATATATATTTTTAAAAAGATCTAGGAGGGGCTGGTAAAGGAGAGAGGGGGGTGCTGTCTGCAGGGCTGACTGACTGGGAGAAGGCAGAGCCACTCCAGTGAGCATGACAGGATGAGGGGTGGGAGGTGGCACCAGGAACTTGTGTCTGGCTGCCTTGGGCCTTGTGTCTGGCTGCCCCGCTGACGCTGGAGATGGCACAGAGGATGCCCCCTGGGGGCCCCCTCTAGCACACAGCTAGAAACCCCCCCTGTGAGGGTGGAAAAGATAAGCCCCCACGTGGTTAGACCGAAGGAAGAGAAGCTCTCCCCCTGAGGTCTTGCTGTCACAGAAAAAAAGGAGTGTCTAGTGGACCCTGAAGGATCATTTATTTTCTTGGCTGAGAACAGGTCATGTGGCTCCCGGTGGGATGTGGCGAGGAAGCCGGCTGAGCCCCTGCCCTCGGGCACAAGAACAGTCTCATAATTAGGTTGATTCATTTCTGGGATCGGAGTGGCTTTAGGGGCAGACATAAGATCCAGGCCAGCCCTAACTCCGGCTCCCAGGAAGACAAAATAAAATAAAAGAAACAGTTCCCTCTAGTTCCAGAATTCTAAACGGTCTAGCACTGCTAGGAGCCTCTCACCCCGAGTCAGAGCCTGCTCCAGCTGAGAGAAGATGCAGCGAAAAGGCCAGACTGAAGCCAATGCAGAAACCACTCACGGGCTGATGCAGAGAAGTCCCCAGAGGCCGTCCAGTTGGGCGACTTCCCAAGCGCACTCCCTGGAGCTCCGAGGGCGTGGGTGGGTGCGGGCGAGGAGCTGAGGAGCGGAGGCCACGGTCTCCTTCCACCTAGTCCATGTTTGACAACTTCCACCCCTCCAGCTTCCCTTCAGAGAACACTGCGGCCCAGAGGGAAACACACTTGTCCCGGATCGTAAAGACCGGGTAGCCGTTGAGTGTTCCCTAGGTTACAAACACAAATACAGCAGAGACCGAGGGGGGCGGGGGAGGGGGCAGGGGAGCCAAGATTCGAGTGCGCAAAGGCCAGCGTGCCGGCCGGCAACCACTCAGCCCTGGACAGAAAGCCCAGGCTTTCTGTCTCCCCTGGGGCGGGTCCCCACTTCCTGTGGCCCAGGCCGGCCTGCTGGCAGCACTGACAGATCTGGGGTTCCAGCTGCTGTCACGAGGCTGGCTCCCTTCCGGACAGAGAGCAGTTCCACTTCAAAGGGCCTAGCCTCCCGGGTCTTAGCCAAGTCCTTGAAAGCAGGGTGCTTTTTCCCGTTAGCATGTTGGGGCAAACAGACAATGGCCTCTATTTGAGATCCACACGGTAGTTACGCTGGACATGGACTTCACAGAGGATTCAGAGCCTCATGGGTGAAAGTGTGAAACTGTATGAGAGCCACGTGCCACCTGCGCTTGTAGGATGGAGGACCCTCGACAACAGAATCCCCATCACCAGAGACCATGGTCTTTGCTTCCCCTGGGACATGAGGAAGGCTCGGTCCAGCAATGAGTGCGTGCAGATCCCAAATCCAAGAGCAGTCCAAGGTCAGCCAGAAGAGATCGTACCCTCCTAGACAAGTCACAGGATGAACTCTGCAACCTCCTTCTTCCTAAAATTTGATGAGGCTCAGGAATGAAGAAATATCACCAACTTGTCCAAAACATGCATTAAAAAAAAAAGTGCCAAGTCCTGGCCGGATGGATGGCTCAGTTCGTTAAGAGCATCAACCTGATACCCCAAGGCTGTGGGTTTGACCCCCCAGTCAGGGAACATACAGAAATCAACCAATGAATGTCTGAAAAAAAGCCAACATTGCCCTAGCCGGTTTTGTTCAGTGGATAGAGCGTCAGCCTGCGGACTGAAGGGTCTCAGGTTTTATTCTGGTCAGGGGCACATACCCTGGTTGTGGGCTCGACCCCCTATGAGGGGGCGTGCAGGAGGCAGCCTATCCATGATTCTCTCATCATTGATGTTTCTCTTCCTCTGAAATCAATAAAAGTATATATATATATATATATATATATATATATATATATTTAAGAAAATCATTTCTCTCCCTCCCCCCACCTCTAAATCCAATTATTTTTTTAAAATGTAAGTGCTGTGATATGGTTAACAGTATGCTGTATTAATTTGATAAAAAACTGGTTCTGTGGCTTATTTGTTGGGGGAAAGCACAAGAAATACCTGTTCTGTGCACTGTAGTCAGGAACATTATTCATGTCTCAAGAGGTGAATGACAAGCGTGAGGCCCGGGCCATGGAAGTAGCCTAGGCTCTGGCCAGTCTTGTGCTGCCCGGTGCCTCCGCGGCTCACGGCACCTGTTCCTGATGTTCTTGGCAACACATGGGAAGCTGCCCATCGGACATAAACCTCCTGGGAAAGGACCTGCCCATCGGACATAAACCTCCAGAGCCCATTCTGTGTCCTGAGTATCTTTCAATATAACCCCGCAAATAAAGAACCAATGAGGCTTGTGTTTGACCATTAGCTTCGTGTTCCTTAAGGGACAAAAGGAAACATTCCTGTCACAGGACAACCAGACACCTTTGCAGGCATTTTAGCTCCCAGGGGCCACCAGGGCAGGGGGTCCAGGTAGCTTGGCTTTGTTTATTCTTCTTGAAGACTCGCAGAGGACTCCAAAGCGTTTTCTCACAAAAGTAGAATCTAATTACAGAGTAACACAAAGTACTTCACCCCAATAATTTTACTGTTTAACTTCAGCGCGCAGGGTAAACAAGGCAGCAAATATTGCCTTGTTCTCTGCACTAAGAAAACTTAAGACAGAGCAAATGAACTTCTGTCATAACATAAATGGCAAAATTATCTGGAACACAGGTGACCCAACTTCTCACGTACGTGTGGTACCTGGAACAGCTCGCAGGCTTCTAAGCCCAACGGAATAGTAACATTTGAAAACACCCAAAGGCTCCGGATGTGAGGTTTGCCGTCTCTCTAGACTTCCCCACACTCAGGACTCTGCACAAGGCTGTTCATTCAGTGAAACGTGTCAAAGGGGTAGTGTATCTAACTTTATTTTAATGAATAAAGGATGCAAATGTTGATCAAATCCCGTTAATATCAGTGTCCATAAAAAATAAGGTTTTGGAGGTCGTCAGCTCTTGGTCTCTAGGATCAGAGATGCAGCGGGTCATGGTGGAACCTGCGCCGTGGGAAGAGGTGCTCACAGGTGCGTGGAGTGAGAACCGAACATCGGAAACACTGGCTTTCCACCTGCCTGCACTCTGCTCCCAGCCCTGTAGCACGGACCAGGCTGCACAGGGAGAGGGGACGAGGCCCCTCCCTGATCCTGGAACAGGAAGGACAGGCTCCCATGCCCTTTCACTCCAGCAGTCACATCAGCGGTAAACCATCCCTCGGGTATTTAAAACAGGTTTTTCAAACCCAGCATTCGCTTTACATACTCACCGGGGTCTGACCACATAGCCTAAACCAACGGGACACTTAGAGGAACAACAAAAATTCATCTGGACGAGGATTCCATAGAAATAAAAGGACACTCGTTTCTTTTTAATTTGGCAGAAAGATAACAGTGATTCCAAACAACAAAGTCCTTCGATACACAGGAAGATACTTATTCCCGCAGGGAATGAAGACGTCCCAACGGCAACCTCTGTTTCAGGTCTGACGTGTTGCACACCTCAGCGCGGGACTGAGGAAGGGCCGACAGGGGAAGGGCGGCAGGAGGACTCCAGCTTTAGGAACCTTCTACCAAGGACTGGCCTGACGTTTGGAAAAAAAAAACCACGTGCGTGTTAAAAGCCCGAGGGAAAGTCTCCGCACTGAAATGTGGTCACAGCCAACTGGTCTCCATCTATTTGTCACTACAAAGCAAGAACTGGGCCTTCGGTTAAAGCGTGGACCTGCTTTCCCCTACTAAGTGGGGAGGGTGGCACTGCAAGGGCACTACTGCAGGTGGGAAAGAAGTCCCAGCCTGATCCCAACAGCTCGGAGCAGCCCATGGGGACAGATCCCACCTCACCGGGTCTCGGACCCAAGTTCTTGCGTCCCTGACACAGCGCTGTGGTGCTGCGGTGCACAGCCAACACCTGAGCAGTGCTGACGGGACAGGGGAAGACCACTGCTGGGGCTACGAGGACAGGCTTGGGGAACACCCCCTGCTCCCTGGGCCCAGCCGACCCCCAGCCCTGGGGAGCGTTGCTAAAGGAGTTATTAAAATGAGATTGGGTCACCTGCCCGGAAGACGCACACAAGGCCGCTATTTTGTGCCACTGCTTGAGAGCGAGGCTCAAGTAGCATAATTTAAAACTACTAACAGCAGGCTGGGAGAAATAGATTGGGTTTCGGGGAGCTACTGACAGGTTGATGTCAACCCCCAGGAAGAATGTGCTCTGGCAAACAGCTGTTGACGAGGAAAAGGCAGCTGCTCTCTCCAGCCCTAGGCAAACCTCTGCACAAGTCTTTGCCTTGGGAAAGAATAAGTCGCTTGGCATGTTATTCCTCTTATGCGCCAGCTCCATTGGGAGCAAAATAAAAGAGCGAGATCTAAAAAGGAGGATCAGACCCGGCTGGCGTGGGCCGGTGGTGGAGCATCGACTTGTAAGCCAGGTCATGATTGGGATTCCCAGTTCAGGCACCTGCCAGGGTGGCAAGCCCCATCCTCTGTGTGGGGCGTACACATCTCTCATCATTGTTTCTCTTTGCCTCTCTGAAATCAATAAAAAAATATTTTTAGAAAGATGATCAGCTCTCTGTGGCCTTAACTGAGTCCTTCCCTGTGCTGACCCCAGGTGGGAACTACTGGCTCCTGGGATGGCTCGAGGCTCCTGGGTGCCGCTCTCCCACACAGTGTCTTCAGGGGGCAAAGACCGAAGGCATTGCAAACACAAGGGGGATACTCAGGAAGCTATAATTTTGCCCAAAAGCCATGGCTATTCTGATAAAAAGAGGGGTGCTGCCACCAGGGCGCCTAGCCCTCCGAGTGAAACCCGTCTCCCCCTCTGTTGAGTTTCAACGTTTAGAAAAGGGGGAGCAGGAACCCCAGCACAAACCTAGAGGGGAAATGTTAGCAAGAGAGACCCCAGAGATGTACATACATGCTCAACAAAGGAAACAGGTAAACACACTCCCGCCATAAACTCTTATTTGAAAGTCCTTCAGTGTTCTTAGGAGTATTGCTTCGGTTGCATGTCGCTCATGACAATAATCCTGAATTGGGTAAAATGGCCACTCTCCCCCGTTTCAAACAGAGTGATGTAAAGATGCTTTCTGGCCATTCCGGAAGAATGTTTTCAGAGAGAGAGGTGAGAGATGCGAAGGATGGTGGACTTGAGAGACAGGAAGACATTTTACAAAAGCCTGTGTTGTCCACGCTGCTCTTCCGAGGTCGGATTGTTCGAAAGTGCGAGACGGGTCTGATTTTCTGCTCCTGAGTAAGCAGAACCGGAGGGAGATGCCTCCACACGGTCTAACATTCGTCGTCCTTTCCGGAAGGCTTGAAAGCAAAAAGCCTTTGAAGTCAGAAGCGAGGCAGGGTCCCTCGGTCACTGCAGGTGCCCCCTCCTGTGCCCGACACCGAGAGACAGATCGCCGGGCAGCGTGAGGCGGGCGTGCTGCAGCCGACGCGGAGAGGCGTCTAGTCTGAAGATACTTTCCCACAATCATGGCAAGTTCTTCACTTCCATGCTTTATTGAAAGTAAAATAGGAATCAAAGACAGGTACTGGTAAGCAGATTATGTCTCTATATAAAAGAGTTACGGTTAGCTCAGAGCAGAATGCTGTCCCGTTTACTGTGATACAAATTCCTATGGACCAGTGCATCTGGCACGAAACTCGAGCAAGGAAATAGGACAGAATTTCACTCCCTCCCGTGACTATAAATCTCGTATGTAAACATGATTTCCTGTTACTGCTACTAAACTGGTTTGATCTTTATTCGCCTTTCCCCCACCCCCGCCCCTTAAATAGAAAACCTGAAACATTTCCTTCAAGTCTGAGGCCCTTCAGTGCAATCGGCTTTATTTGACACAAGGCATTTGGGACGGTCACTTTTGAAATGGTTTTCTGCCTTTTGGAAGAGTCACGTAATGATTCGATTCTTAAATCCAGCTTTTCGTTAATGCCCTAACATGTCGATCTCCTCTTCCCTTCTGGTCATTTCTCAGCGGTTGGGAAAGGTCCGAGAGATTAATGTCCAAGGAGACCAGTACCTGGGGAAAGAAACACGTGGAAGTATGGTTACGAACCGAATATGCAGAGTCCACGCATAACCTTCGCCCAGAACACACCACCCCCTGGGACCATCCACCTTAATCATCGAGTGCGGTGGACCCTCGGTGCTGAAGGGCAGGAAAAAATACCAGCCACGCCCTGGCTGGTTTGGCTCAGTAGATAGAGCATCGGCCTGCGGACCGAGGAGTCTACGGTTCGGTTCTGGTCAAAAGCACACGCCCGGGTTGCAGTCTCGATCCCCAGGAGGGAGCAGGCAGGAGGCAGCCGATCAATGATGCTCTCTCATCATTGATGTCTCTCTCTTCTGCTCCTTCCTCTCTGGAATCAATGCATATATTTTTAAAAATCAGCCAACAGTAGGTTTTCAGCTAAATCCCATTTCTGTTCAAAGCCATGTGTTTGTTGTCTTCATGCAGTTAATGAGATTTGACTGACACATCTGAAGGCCATTTTTCATAAAAATGTCTTCTCTGCTTTGGCTGTGACATCAAGGGTTTCTTTGCAGTCATGATGCGCAGACAACAAAGGGGCCCGGGGAGGAAGGCTTTCCACGGGCCAGTGGTTCTGTCACTCATTTCCTTTAGCAAAGGCACCCTGACATCCGATTCAAACTGACTCCTGGGCAAAATCACAGCCTGCCTAAACCTCTAGAGCCGGCCACAGCCAGTGAGAATGGCAGCAGTAAATGCCAGAGGTCTGTATTCGGTGGATTAGTGACTAATACTGGTGTCTACAACTGTAGCAGCCAAGATGTAGAATAAGGCACTGCTGTGTCTCCATCTAAAGTAATAACCCAAGACATGCCTTAACTCTAAATAGATTAATGAAACCTTTTCACTGAACCTCATGTAGTTCAGCAAATTCTTCTCCTCTAATTCTTATCGGTTGCATACAAACTGTTTTGCTCGCAGATGCGACTGACAGGGTGAACTGGAAACAGGTTAAATATAAACCTCGAAATGCCACTAGCTAATTCCCCCACCCCACGCCACGCCCCCGTCAGACAAAGAGAAAGCAGAATGGACATGTGCTAGCAGATACTGTGACCACACAGGCCCCATCTGAAGCCGAGTGCTGAAAAAGGTAATGAAGAAGCTCAAATAAAAAATGCATTTAACTAAAATTAATTTCAGTCATGAGACTCAGATTGAATTAAATTTTAAAATCAAATTATAGCCTTCACTTTTATAGAAAATTACAGTATGACTCTGACATTCACGAACAGAACATGACAAATGTAACTTACCTTTAAACCCTTCTTCTGGCATACACACTGTGGGGAGGAGGGGGGGGAATCCAAATTAGAAAGACTGTCGTGACAGATAGTAAGGAACAAGATCATGTCAATGCCCAAAGATGAGGTTTAAAATAACTTTTAATTACTACACCCATAATCATTACTTTTGAAGTTATGGGTGATGATAATCAGATGACATTCTTCGTTTTTACATTCTGTGCAGCTCCTGGGAAGTCTGGAGACAACCCTGGGACTGACCTCGGAGCCAGACCCCCCTCCCTTCACCCCCCACCCTCCCACCAAATCCCTCTACGCCAGAAGGAACCACTTCTGACTCTAGCAGCCATTTCTTACGGTGTGCAACCTTTTCCCCCTAAATCACATGCTTCTGTTGCCATTTCACTATTTTAGACAATTCCTCAAGGAAAGAGACTGGCTGCACATCCTCCTGCCGACACTGTGATACTTTGTTGTTAGGCCGATCTCCGGTGCTCACATCACTGGCATTTTTAAACGTTATTAACACTGCCTGCAGTTGGACCCTTCGGTGTACTGTGGCTGCACTGCTTGTCTGGTTATGATTTTTTCGTTTTTCTGAGTTGGTGGCTCTGCACTATTTACGTGTTCCATCTTCTCTACACCATCTCCAACTCAAGGGCAAGCTCTCAAAGACCCGTGAGCCTCAGGACAGTCCAGTTTCCTGAAGCCTGCACACATCCTGTGGCTCCTCCCGCGCTGGGTGAGCTGAAGGGGCGGGCCTCAGCCTCACCCTCTGGTTTTATTTCCTCACTGAGCTGAGACACACACTCCAGCTGCCCTCTGAGGTGCGGGGAAAGGCAGCGTGACATGGAGGGAAAGCAACGGGCTGGGAGGGGCTGGGGTACAGCGAGGTGTCTCCTGCTTCTTACACAGTTTCCTGTTCTCAGGCTCATACCTCACTCCCACTTCCAGGGGCGCCTGGGCCTCCCATTCCTGTGTGCCTGACTGAATTAGCCTTGCTTCTTGGTGACCTCTTCCATCTCTAGGCTGACATTTCTTGTTTGTTTTTTCCCGGGTCAGCTAAATAATTACTACTCTTTTCTCTGCTTCCCATTTTCAGCATGTGGAACCCTTTTTTAAGGTTAATAGTATTATATTATAGATGAAAGCTTAAATACCTATAACTCCACGTCCTTCTAACAAGTTAATCAACAAATTCCTATAGTAGATTCGTCTTTACCTTGCATGACATCATCCATTGCAGCATAATCAGCGATTGGTTCATCAGCCTAGACAACAAAGAAGACGATTCAAAACATAAGGGAGAGGCAGCCAGGAGGAAGTCTGGCCCAGGAGTGGACTATGTGGCCACAGGACACAGATCTAACCACTGTCCAGTACAGAACTGGGTTCGAGCCGCAGCCGACAAGGTTGAGGATTAATGGAAGGGTGGCCTGCCTTGTAATGGGTCTAAACTCATCACCCACAGAAGTGCACATGTATGTGGCATGTTTTCCAGCTCCTAAAAACACCTCTATATGTAGAGAGGTTTAGATACCAAGGTTACTAAACGGATTTAATTAATGTGAATTCACATGCTGGTGGTGGCCAAGTTAGGTAGGAATAAAAAGCCAGACTGGTCCTCTTAAAAATACTAACTAGGTTAAAATACATTTTTGTCCTGCCTCACTAACAAGAACAAAATACCCTGATCCTTGTTAGGGCAGAAGCCAACACAGAGCCCGAGCTTCTGGTGGGATTAGCTGGAAGGACTAGGGCCAGTGACCAGCGGGGAATCTAACTGCCCATGGGAAGTACAAACCCGTTAACAGTACTGCTGTTTCTAGGATTTCAGACAGGCCTCCTAGGACTCAGCAAGTCAACAGGCTTTCACAGTAATACCACAGAACCTCCAGTTCCAAGAAAGTAGAAAGTGATCAGCAGGAGGGGTGGGTGGCAGGGTGAGGGTGCGTTTATGTGTGGGGCAGATAGGGGTCTGCTCCATCATGTCAGGGCCTAGCTTATCTCCCCAGAACTGAGGCGCCTATGTCACAGTTCAAACACCCTACGAACACTTTTAGCACAGTGGGGATGCTTCTGGCCACATACAAACAAAAGCAGCAAATGAATGTGTTGAGTAGGTACCTCTACACACGAGAACCATTGGGCAAATAAGGCTGGTTCAATGATTCACTTTCTTCGATGATTCTACCTAAAGCCAGTGTCCATGAGCTGGACAAGAGGGCAAACAAAAGTGCTTTGACTGTTGAGGCCAAGCCTCGGGTCCGTGTGATTCCGAACACGACAAGCTGCTGTTTTTGAGCCGCGAGGAAATGAGCGAATGCTTTAATAGCAGAAGTATTGTTGATTCTGCTGATCCAGAAGTTAGGGAGGAGGCGCAATCTAGATCCATTATTTTTAACAAAATTATGAAAACTTCAATGATGCCGTGACCTCCTCTAAGTCCCCGCAGATCGGCCAGAGCTGGTGAACCGAGAAGCCAGCACGAATTCGTGGCAGTCACCTGGTACCACAGCCTGCTGGGGACCCAAGCAGCTGTAACCTCCACCGTAGCAGTTCACACGTGGGTGTGCAGCATTAGAACGTTGCAGGGAAAGAGAAGGAAAAAACCTAGAGATCCTCAGGGAAGAAGCCGTCACTCACCTTTAACAAAATGACAGACTCGGGAATGACTCCAAGGGTGCCGAGGGTGGCGCTGTCATCAGTTAAAACCTTTCCATCGATGGAGAGATTCTGGTCAAAAGGAGCCACTGAAAATGCATGCATGATCTGAGAAAAGAAAAAGAAAAGAAAGTTGATATAAAGTAAAATGCGGAGACTTATATCTTATTTGGGTAGATTCCTTAAAAGATAAAAAGAACTGGAGTACAAAAGACATTACTGTGTGCAGGTAGCCAGCCCACCTGCTACCTACGGATGGAAGTTATAATCCCGCCTCATCTGGGACCTGCCCTAGGAAGGCTGGAAGAGGAACAGTTACACCCACAGATCCGCTAGTCCTGCGCCCGTCACCTCTTCGAGGGCGGGGGTGGGGAATGAAAGGAGCAGAAGGGGCTGAGCTGACGGCTTCTCTGGTCATGAGGCTTGAACAGGGCCACTACTGTCACTCAGCCCAAGTCCCACGGCCTTGTAATCACCAAGTCTTTAAATTAGCCCGCAGGCACCGAAGCCGGTTTGGCTCAGTGGTAGAGCGTCAGTCTGCAGACTGAAAGGTCCCAGGTTCAATTCCGGTCAAGGGCATGTGCCTTGGTTGTGGGCACATCCCCGGTAGGAGATGTGCAGGAGGTGGCTGGTCAATGTTTCTCTCTCATCGACATTTCTAGCTCTCTATCTCTCTCCCTTTCTCTCTGTTAAAAAATCAATAAAATATATTTAATAAATAAATAAATAAGCCCGCAGGCGATTTGGACTCTTCTTCCTTCTGCTTGGATTCCTTTAGCAAGCAGCCTGGACTACACAGTTCAGTCCTTGGAACACATATTCTTAGACCGAGTCCTTCGTCTAGGAACCAAAATTGGAATTCCTTAAAGGTGAAGGACCCTAGTTCTAGCCTAGTGTTAAATTAAATACATTCAGAAAGACTACTAGGTATAACACTTACACATTTTCAAACTCAGAAAAAAAATGTTTTCATTTTTATTACATCCGGTGTGCACTGTATCATGCTTCATAACTTAGTTACATCCTCATGGAGTGCGTTCTATTACATGTATTTTCCATGACTCCGATACCCATGTTAGAGGAAAACAATCCTACCTTTCCATGTACTCTCTTCCTCTACCCTTTGAAGCTGTGAAGACAAAACGAGCCTAGCAAAGCAGCCTGAACCAACTGTGTATAACAGGGACAGGAGATTCTCATGCTGGGACAGCTGGGGCCAGAAAAGTGGTTTAACGGCACACAAATAAGAACCTCAACGGGACTTCTCAAAAGGACATCAGCCCCCGAGAAACTAGCAGGGATTGATCAAACAGGGATGGGAGGCTACAGTGCACGGACATCATCCAACAGCTGCCTACGAAGCAACAAGCCTGTTTCTGGGAAGAAGAATCCACAGGGCAGTTCTCCCAAAGCCAGCCGAGCACGGGCCCCGGGACCTGTGAAGAAGGTAGTCACACGGAGGCATCTGAGACAATGACTGTGGGTCAGCTGCTTGGCTGTAGGAATGCTGGTTCAGATCCCTGAATGCTCATTGTCTTTGCACCACGCTATGGACTAACAACAAATACTATGGAACACGAGACACAAGTACGATGGATGAGGGGCTGATGCTCAGACTTTATTATTTTGAGCACACAGACAAGGACATTAAAATTCACTCAAGAACTAATGAAACATTTACTAAGAAGCTACCTGACAGATACTGTGCTAAGTGCAAGAAAGATCAAAGTGACTGACGCCGCGATGGAGTTCACAGGAGGGAGAGCAACACAATGTGAAGGTGGCAGCAGCGGGAGGTACCTGTAAGATCCAGGGGGAAAATGGGGGAGAGAGAACAGCCAGCTCTACAGCCAGAGGCCAAGAAAGGTTTTGCAGAAGAGGTTCAGTGACAAATGAAAAGTGTGTACTAATGAGGAGAAAATGATTTTAGAACAAGGGAACAGGCTAATTAAAGACATGGAGGTCTTTGGTATGATAGCTCATAAACCATAAGTACTAGGAGAATGCCTGAGTAGAACTACTATAAGCCTCTTTAAAAAGTAGATACAGCTTTCTTGATCTATAGAGAAATAGGGAACAATGTTTTCCTAACAGTGAGTGGCTCCCTGCTGCTTGTTGGTGTGTGTGTGTGTGTGTGTGTGTGTGTGAGAGAGAGAGAGAGAGAGAGAGAGAGAGAGAGAGAGAGAGAGAGAGAGAAATAAGGAAATGTACAAGCAATGGCTTCCACTGCCAGCCATTTAACCTGTGCCAACATTTCCTCCTTTCTAAGGCAGGCAATACCACCCACTCAAAACCTATTCTTGGGAAAATGAAATAACACAATAAAATACTGTGCATCCTTTGAGAAAGGAGATGAATAAATTATACTTCATTTACTTTATGGCATCATAGGTGGATGAATTAGTAATTTGGCCAAGCAAGTTTCTTCAGGTTTTAGAGAGCTGCAAATGAGTATGTCTGGGCTAAGCCACTGACAGTTTTACGAAGCTTGCCGTCCTATTAACTTGGAATTGTAGTATTTCCTGGAGGAAAGGCTCCATCAAACACACACAAAAAAAACATGCTGTTCAAAAAACCACCCACCGTAAACGCGGAAGCTGTCCAGGCTGCTGAGGTAAAGGGGTCGCATCCAGCTGCAGCTTTCAAAGCTGCCACACTGAGCAGCGGGAAGAGATGACATTTCGTTGCCCTTTGTCTGGGCCCTGCTTGGGTCACAGCGGTGCTCGAGCAGGTGGGAGATGAGGGGAAGGACCCTGTAAAGGAACCTCTGAGCAGCTGCTGCCTCCTAACAACCCATCGGTGCAGGTTACATGCTCTGAGATGGAGGTGATTTCTGCTGACTCTTCTGACTTAGTCTTCAAAAATGGCAGCCCACAATAGCAGCAGCACAGGCTTTTCAAAGGCCGCCACCACAGGGCCCTTTGTGTGCTGGGAAAGGGTTTCAATGTTCGAGGTTTACCACTGACAGGGAGAAAGCCGGTGACAGAAGCAAGCTTTCTCAGATGGAAAAGGTACAATAAACAGAGGGGAGAGACTGTGCCAACACGTTTATTTTCAGAGCCCTGGGTTCAACCGAGGGAAATACCGTTCCCCGGACAATCTGGAACACATAACACCCTCAAAGGAAGCCTGTACTTTTGCCTCAATTACGATGATAAATATCAGCAACAAGAAGAATGCGTAACCATTGAACTCTGCCACATGAAAGTAGCAGAGAGGGGAGTTTGGTCAGCTTTTTGGACATATAGCAGGGACTGAAGCAGATCAGGGGCCAGACTTTTTTCCTGGACATCTTGAACTTATCAGCCCCCTCTGCCTGTGTTTTGAGATATACCATTGGCACGCTCATTGACAGTGCTTCAGCGCAAGCACCGAGAAGTAACATGGGCGTGAAGCCTTTTCACAATGCCCACATTGCATTCGTTAAATCGATCTGTAAAGCAATGCATGCTTTTAGGGGGATAGAGAGAAAATGATCTAAAACGAACCTTTAAGAAAAAATATGAAAACACCAGTCTGAGAAGAGAGGTGAAGGTAATTTTAAAATTCTGCCCGACAGACTTATCTGACATAAAAAATATTATGATAAAAATAATTTCTGACTCATCCAATAAACAATTAAGCAGCTGCCTTTTACATCCCCTTAAATTTGACAGATCCTGGTAATAATCGGCTCAAATGCCCATTAAATGGTCAAAGAACAGCAAACAGCACAAACAAGTGAGAGACTAATTATTCTAGAACAACCCCAACATGGGAACAGACTGACACACAATTTTCTCATTGGAAAGCTCAAATTCCAGAAATCAAAAACACTTTCATCTTCATAGAAAGCTTCTTGTCTGTTCTAGAGAACTGTGGCCATTTTAAAGAAAGAGTTATTTTAATGTTGGGGCCCAGCAGGCATTACTCTAAAACCAATAAAACCCTCTCAGTGGCTTAATACATGACTAGAGATCAACCTAGAAAAACCCATTACACATATAAACATGGGTGGAAAGCAGGATTTATGAAGGTCCTTTGCATCTATAAAATGCTCAATGTTAGCTGTTCTCACCTGAATTTTCAATTCTTTCAATGTCTGATTAGCAGAAACAAGAAGTGCTTTCTCGCCGCGAACTTTCCTATGTCGCATACTCCGTCGAATAACTTGCTTTTGATAGGCAATGTAATTTTGATGCGATATCTTTTGCCTTTTTGTTCCTCCGTTGCTCTATAATAAAGATTCAAAACAAAGAAAGCAATGAAATGATCCACAGTATTACCTGTGCTCCACTTACGGGTTCCCTAAACATTGAAGTTCAATGTCAGAAATAAGTCAAGGTAATCAACCAAAGAACTTGTATGCACACATGCATAACCCATGGACACAGACAGTAGGGGGAGAGATGACATATGTAATACTTTCAACAATAAATTGTTGTTGTTTTTTAAATAATCTTTTCTTCCTATATTACTTTAAAAAATATGTAGAAACTCATTTTAAGCAGGCTCATAAAACTGAATAAAGAATGAAATGAGATATCCACAGTTGTTTTAAGAAGACTTTATTAAAAGGACATTTAAAAGCAAAATGATATGTCTGACCTTAAATCAGAATACATGTGATATGCTGGAAAACTCTTAAAAAAATTTTTTTAATCCTCACTGGAGAATATGTTTATTGATTTTAAAGAGACATAGAGCATGTATGGGCGTGGGGGGGGGGGGGGCGCAATGGAAAGATATGTACACATGTAATACCTTAATAAAAATAAATAAATAAAAAATAAAGAGACATAGAGAGGAAACATTGATTGGATGCTTCTTATATGTGCCCTACCAACAGGGATAGAACACACAGCCTAGGAATGTGCCTGGCTTGGAACTGAACTCACAACCTTTTGGTGTACAGGATGACTCTCTAAATGACTGAGCCACCCGGCCAAGGCTAAGATTATTAATTGAATTCATCATCCTAACTTATTTGCACTAAATATTTTCTTCTGTTCTTGAGAAAGTCATGGGAATTAAGTATAAACTACTGCCGAAACCGGTTTGGCTCAATGGATAGAGCGTCTGCTTGGGGACCGAAGGGACCCAGGTTCGATTCCGGTCAAGGGCATGTGCCTTGGTTGCGGGCATATCCCCAGTGGGGGGTGTGCAGGAGGCAGCTGATCGATGACTCTCATCGATGTTTCTAACTCTCTCTCTCTCTCTCCCTTCCTCTCTGTACAAAATCAATAAAATATATATTTTTAAAAAAATAATAAATAAATATAAACTACTGAGAACTTTAAACACTTCCTTGCAGGTTTAAGCATTTAGACGTGAAATGTCATAATGAACTTAAGGGCAATTCAGAAACAAAATAAAGGAATCCACATGAGCACGTAATACATTTTATACTAGTCTTAAAGGAAAAAAATAATAGGTAAGGACCAAATGTCATTCTACAAGACTCATCAAGAGCCTAACAAGCTCTGGCTGGTATGGGTCAGCGGTTAGAGCATCAACTTACATAACAAAGGGTCACAGGTTCAATTCCTGGCCCTGGTCAGGGCACAGGTGGGAGGCAAACAATCAATGTGTGTCACTCTCACATCAATGTTTCTCTCTCCTCCCCTTCCCTCCCTTCCACTCTCTCTACAAATTAATGGGGAAAATATCCTTGGAAGAGGATTAACAAAAACAAACAAAAAAGAATCCTTTCCCTGGTTTAATGAAATCTGAATGAGGTAACCACGAGGCACTGGAGTGTCAGCTGCACACGGCAGAGCGGTTTAGGGATCATTTATGGACACAGAAGCCACAGTCGTTACCATGGAAGCCCCAGAGATTTTTACAAGCGGAAGAGGCTCAGGATCAAACACAGAAGAACGTTTGTTTAGGATGATGCCCACAGGCTAGGAACTGCACCAGGCTAGCTTCAACGACTCTGACAGATGTAGGAAAGGTTAAGTAAACGTGGGAGTTCATAAATAGTCAAAGCTGGTGAAACATTCTCTTTAATCTCGGTCGACAATTGAAAGGAAAAGTAAAACTGGACCTTAATTACACAATTAGGAAAAGTATCTACAGCAATGTAAAATTTTACTTTAGAAATATAAAAACAACCAAATAACAAAGCCCTGAGCATTAAGCATGAAACATTTTTTAATGACTGGTTTTAAATGGGTCTAAAAGCTTTTCCCAGAATTACTTTAAAAGCAAACAAACAAAAAGCCATAGAATTTAAATCCAACTTATCTGACAAAAAGCAGCACGATGGTTTTAGATGGCTTTTAGTTACCTAAGTGATAACCAATACTGGGTTCATTATTAACCTAAATTGTAGATAAGGTCAGAGTCAAAGGAACTAGGTTGATCTAGCTTAAGAGAAAAGAGGAAGAGAGATTTGTTCATCTCCATTAAGGACAAGTAGAAATCATTTGCTATTATGGGGATTTACAACAGCAATTCTAAAAGCTATCTATGAACTGAGATACTGTAATGTACAGCTGACACTGAACAACACGGGTTTGAACTCTGCAGGTTCATTTTAACGTGGATTTTTCCTCCCAATAAATACAATCAGTATATTTTCTCTACCTTATGATTTCCTTTTATTAAAAAATATATATTTCCATTCATTTTTAGAGAGAGAGGAAGGGCGAGGGAGAGAGAAACAGCAATGCGAGGGTAAAACATCAAGCAGCTAGCTCCTGCACGCCCCCTACCGGCAACCCAGCATGGAACCTGACGGGAGGAGCCCAAGATGGCACCCAGCCAACTGAGCCCCTACGGCCAGAGTTCTTCCTCATGATTTTCCTAATAATGTTTTCCTTCCTCTAGCTTAATTTATTGTTAAGAATACAGTATACATTATGTATAGTATACAAGATTTGTTAACTGACTGCTTACGCTGTCGGTAAGGCTTCCAGCCAACAGTGGGCTATTAGGAAAGTTTCTGGGGAGTCAAAAGTTATACGTGGATTTTGACTATATGCAGGGTCGGCAGCCCGAACCCAGTGTTGCTCAAGGATCAACTCTGTTACAAAGAAAAGGTCTGAGGAGGCTGGCATTCTGAAACGTTGATATTCTGGGACTCCACTTTTTTCTAAAGAAGGAAGGTTACACTTGAGATTTTATTGTGGGACAAGAACTATTTAAAACATCTAGAGTATTACAACTTCCAAACAAGGAGAAGGAAGACAGAAGAAAATTACAAAGTATAAAGTGTAATTACAGCATAAAAAGCAATGTTTCCCAACATTCTCTATCATATTTGTACATGTGAAATCTGTTGTCATCCACAACGAAGAATTCCACATTCACTTTTGTAAATTGCTGTGGTTATGACCATAATGAATAAAACTACATATTCAAAAAAGTCAGATTCCCAAAAGCCTAAGTCACTTGAAAATGTAAAGAGTTTTCTAAATATTTCTTAGTTGGAAAAGCAAACCTTGAAATAACGGAAACTAAGAACAATAAGAACATACATGTCAAGTTTTCCAAATTAATTTAAAGTTTACCGGAAGGAACAGAAAGTGAGTTGGTGACCACAGGTAATAAACAATATAGAGAGAAGATGAGAGTCCCATACACCTGAGAGATAAAAATTAAAACAGTATGGTGTTGCCAGCCAAGCAAATAAAAAAAGAGAATGAAGCTGTAAATGAGGACGTACACACACACACACACACACACACACACACACACTCTCTCTCTCTTTTAGCATATCAACTAGGAAAGGAAACAGACTTGTTTGTAGATCTGTGAAGATCATGGGAGATGAACCGTATAAGAATTTGAAACATGAAAAAGTTGACAATAAACAGGTTACAAAGGCAGAAAGGTTTGCAAACTCCTACCAAGAGACATATTATTTGACTCTGTCATCTCTCAAAAATCATCCCAAGGAACAGAAGGGATATCTGCACATGGATTTTCATAGGAGGATTATTGCCATTATCCCCTGAGCTGTAAGCCTGCATTCCTGTAAAACGTATACATATAGCTCTGGCCAGTGTGACTGTTGGTTGAGGGTCATCATCCCATGCATAGATTTCCAGTCAGAGCAAAGCCCGGGTTGCTAGCTTGATCCCAAGTCAGGAGGGTGGCCTGCAGGAGGCAACTAACCAAGGTTTCTCTTTCTCATTAATGTCTCTCTCTCAAACCAGTGAAAACATATTTTGAAATGTACAGATCGGAACTGGCACTGAAGTTGAGGGCCCCCAATGCTGACTGACTGAAATACAAATTTGGTGGGACAACTTGAACAAGAGTGGCTGATGGTTGTCAGGAGGATGATGCACAGAAGACACGATTTTGTTCTCTCACAGGTGCCTTACAGTTAACGTTTATGAGATGCGACAGCACAGAAAGCAAATGCTGACGTTTCTCTCTACCAGCTGGGAAACCACAGTAACATGTAGCTCGGGGAGACCAAGATTCAAGTCGAAGAGGGCTTTTCTGACTTTCTCATCAATGCTAAAAATGAAATAGCAGGATCGGTGAGCACACACAGGACAAGCCCAGAGTTCCGCTCTCACAGATACAGCAGATGATCACTATACCACTTACTCCGTCAGGGAGAACGACGGCCATCATTTGACTACCCTGTATTTTGGCAGGAAAAAAATCTCTCATCTGTTAAAACTAACTCTAGGTAGAGTAGAAATTCCATGAATTAAGGTATCCATAAAATATCCTGGAATACAGTGGACTGACTTTTGGAAAAGACCAAGCTTACCTACATTGTACAGCAACCAAACTTATTCCTACGTTATTTCCTGTTCTTAAGACTATTTTCCCAATACAATGGACATACAGAATATAGTCAAGGAGGCAACTAACCAATGTTTCTCTTTCTCATTGACGTCTCTCTCTCAAACCAGTGGAAACATATTTTGAAATGTACAGATCGGAACTGATACTGAAGTCAACGATCCCCAATGCTGACAGAGGCCTCCTTGGTTAGTTGCCTCCTTGCCAACACAGCCAAAGGTATGACAAAAAAAAAGGAGAGGAGATAGAAAATCATAACAGAACCAGAAAAGACTAATGTTAATATGGTCATTTGTCTACTTACAGACCCAAATATCTCATCTATAAAGTCCATTATCAAATCCACTGTTTATTTATTATGAGGAAATCTAAGATAGCCTTTCATACTTGAAGATTCCATAATTCAGCAACAAACCAAGATGTGGGTCTTGTTTAGTCTTCTTTTCTAGCTAAAAATTTGTTACTGTAATCCTGTAATAATGCTGTCCACAGCTTCTCATGGGAAATCAGGACGGCTATTGCCCGCCACCAAAAACGAAGGAAACAAAGGGTGCTGAGGACCCACGGGTGCGGAGAGACGTCTGGGGCACGGAGAGGCTGCCTCCCTGCCAGCACACAGCCGAAGGTATGACAATGAAAAGCGGCTTCAACAAGTACCTGATTAAAATCTGGGTCCTTTTCTCCGTCTGGCTTAGCTTCTTCCTTATCCTCCTCTGTTTCGGAACTGCTCACATTCAGCTCCGGAGCGGAATCCTTCATCACCTGAATGTGTGAAGAAAGCAGAGACAGACGTAGGTCAGACCTAAGAAGATGAGCTACAGGCTTTGATTGCCCCCCGTTATCAAGAGGAGGAACACCTTTATCACCGTTGGGAATCACACACACACCAGAGCTTCAAGACTCAGGGGCTCTGTGTCCTCTTGTAACATGTTAGGTTTTTATCCTGTGGTTTATTCTTGCACTTAATGCATTCCCCATAAATGTAAAGTGATCTCTATAGAACATTCACTGTTGGCTTTAACAATGATGTTATCTTGCAGCAGTTCAAAAATGCTCTCCATTTCTGTCAGCACACTGACTGACTGTCGGGCTTTTACAAGGCTCGAGTGGTACAGACAGAGGAGTTCCAATGCTACTTATCTTCCTCAGGAGGCACAAATGGTCGTGAGGGCCAGGTCCTGTCTATCTTCTTCACCACTGGACCCCCAGCAGTGCAGCCATTCCACACACACAGGTGACATTCAATAAGTATTTGTGTGTCGAATATTCATTCCACCAACTCCACAAGCAACCACATAACTGTTCTTATTCAATTCCTGTCTAATTTTAATTCTTATACCAAAAAGCTCCATGGAAACAAAAATGTGATACTTTGCAATCCTCAGTGAAACTCCCAAGAGCAAGTAAAAAGAAAAAGAAAAAAAAAGGAAAAAAAGCTTTACCATTACCAACCAGGGCCACAAGAGGGACTGGTACCTTTTTATTATCCACGACTTTATGGACATAGATGGTGGCTTGAGTGTATTCACGCAGGTCCCTCTGCTGTTGACACAGTAAGCCCTCTCTGCATTCTGGGCAGAGTTCTAAAGAAAAGTGAAAGAGAAGTGGCTGAGGAATTACTATCGAAGACCCAAATAATTAAAAACATGTATCAAAGTTACCAGTGAGGATCCATTAAACAATTACTCATATTTTATATTAACTGTTGAATTGTTGTACTGTTATATGCAAATAACAATAATACAGAAACCCATTTACTATCCATAAATAAACGAACAAATCATGACATCATTGTATGATGGGCCCCCCCCGGGGAGTATTAGTTTGGACTGCCACGGGACCTTTACTTTTAAGGAGAGGACATAATACCCACGTGCTCTTACTTCCCTTACAATGTCAACTCTTCACTACGCAAACCAAAAGCAGCATGAAAACTTACTCGGCTCAGAAATATACTGTGTTTCTGAAGGATTTGCGTCTTCCACTTCAGTCCTTGTGATTTTAATTACATGATCCACAACAAACAGCTTTTGTATCATTTGCCACTCACTGGGCCATATGAGAGCTATACTGTGCAAAAAAACACAACATGCCTTAATCAGAGAACTGGCGAGATCACCACAGAGGAGTCAGAGGGGAAAGACACATCATCGGCAACGAGGGACAGTAGTTTGGGTGTTTGTTTCCACACAAACGAATGCTACCAAAGCAAAGAAACAAAATGAACTAAAATTACAAGAATCAACTTGGTTAAATCTCAGAAACCTAAATTGAGAAAGAACATAGTTGGATATGATTTTTTACTGATTTTAGAGAGAAGGAAAGGGAAGGGGTGAGAAAAAGAGGGGGTGGTAGGAGAGAATAAGAGGAGAAGAGAAACATCCACCTATTGCCTCCTTAGGCACCCCGAACTGGGACAACCACAGCCTAGGTATGTGCTCTGATCAGCAATGGAATTGGCAATCTTTCTAGTCACACTGGCCAAGGATAGAAAAAATTTTAACTGTGCAAAACATTACCGTGTGTGCCTGTCTGCGTGCATGTGTGTGTGTTTAAACAAATCCTTTCTGAGATGGATAACTCTAAAAAATTCAGGGTAATTTGACCCAGGGATCCCACTTCCAGGAATATATCCCAAGAAACTAGAAACACCAATCAAAAAGGACATATGCACCCCTATGTTCATAGCAGCACAATTTACAATAGCTAAGATTTGGAAACAGCCTAAATGTCCATTAGCAGATGAGTGGATTAAAAAAACTATAGTACACTTTTTAAAAATATATATATATATATATTATTGATTTTTTACAGAGAGGAGGAGAGAGGGATAGAGAGCTAGAAACGTCGATGAGAGAGAAACATTGACCAGCTGCCTCTTGCACACCCCCTACTCGAGTACATGCCCTTGACAGGAATCGAACCCGAGGCCTTTCAGTCTGCAGACCGACGCTCTACCATTGAGCCAAACCAGTTTCGACTATGGTACACTTTTAATTTTCAGATGTATATTATGTATGTTCACAATCAGTGCAGGTGCTACACAATGGAATACTGCACTGCTGTAAAAGGGAAGGAACTCCTCCCATTTGCAATAGCATGATGGACCTGAAGATGCTAAGTGAAATAAGCCAGTCACAATAAGATAAATATTGTGATCTCAGTCATGTGGGATATAATGAGCAACATAAATGATGAACAAAAACAGATCCAGAGACAGAGAAGCATCAATCAGGTTGTCAAACCTCAGAGGGAAGGCAGGAGAGGGTGGGGGTAAGGAGGGCGAGATCAACCAAAGGACTTGCATGCATGCACCGACACCAGGGGGGTGAGGGCATGAGCAGGGTGTGGGTGGAGATGGGGGGGGGTGGAGGTAAAGAGACATATATATTTCCTTAATCAATAAAAAAAATTTTCAGGACAGTGGTTACTGTGAGACAGTCGGGAATAAAAAGAGAAAAGGATGAATAAAAGGTTAAGTACTGAGGGCCCTTCAACTATATTTGAATTTAACTTTTAAATAATTGGTGTCCCACTTTTTTTTTTTTAATTATTATAGATATTTCCCGAACAGGGGAGAACCTAGAAGAAAATATATGTATACTCTAAGCTTCCTGAACTGATGTTAAAAGTATTGATATAGGAGTAATAAACTCCAAATTCTAGCTTTGTCCCATAGGAATATTAATTTTCAATTTTCTTTTCATGGTTTACAGGCAAGGTCAGAGGCATGTCTTATACTAGAGGCCCAGTGCACAAAATTCATGCATGGAGGGTGTGTGTCCCTCAGCTTAGTCTGAATCCTCTTCCAATCTGGGATCCCTCGAGGGTGTCCGATTAAATGGGCAGTCGGACATCCCTCTCACAATCCAGGACTGTTGGCTCCCAACCACTCACCTGCCTGCCTGCTTGATTGATTGCCCCTAGCTGTTTCTGTCTGCCAGCCTGATCACCCCCTAACCACTCCCCTGCCAGCCCAATTGCCCCTAATTGTCCTCCTCTGCAGGCCTGGGTTCCCCTCAACTACCCTCCTCTGCAGGCCTGTTTGCCCCCAACTGCCCTCTCCTACCAGCCTGGTTCCCCCCAACCATCCCCTGCAGACTTGGTCTCCCTCAAGTGCTCTCCTCTGCAGGCGTGATCTCCCCCAACTGTCCTCCTCTGCAGGCCTGACCTCCCCCAACTGCCCTCCCTTGCCCCCCACAACTGCACTCCCCTGCAGGCCATCTTGTGTCCACATGAGGGTGGACATCTTTGGCTCATGGGGGGCAGCCATATTTATGTTAGAATGATGGTCAATTTGCATATTACTCTTTTATTAGATAGGATAGTTATTTAAAATTATTTTAAAAGACAAACTGGTAGCCGAAACCAGTTTGGCTCAGTGGATACAGCTTCAGCCTGTGGACTGAAAGGTCCTGGGTTCGATTCCGGTCAAGGGCATGTACCTTGGTTGCGGGCACATCCCCAGTAGGGGATGTGCAGAAGGCAGCTGATCGATGTCTCTCTCTCATTGATGTTTCTAACTCTCTATCCCTCTCCCTTACTCTCTGTAAAAAAAAAAAAAAAAAAAAAAAAAAAAAAAAAAAAATCAATAAAATATACTTTAAGATTAAAAAAAAAAGTGCTCCTTCTAGTACAGTGAGTATATGAAAGAGGGAAAAACCCACAATTCAGCAAGGGACTAGATTCTTAAAGCGATAAGAAACTTGCTAATCGTTAGAAACCGACAAATGGCATGAAGAGAAGAAACTCACAGTTTAGAATCTTCTTTGGTCATGGAAGCGAATGTAAACATGAGTCCCCCGTGGGGACACAGAAGAGCGCTGTTTCCCACCGACGACACGGGGCTACATCGCGTGGGTTTCCTACTCAAAGAGACAAGGAGGATCAGCAGACCCCACACTGCAGGAGCACACAGATCCGTGCTCAGACAACTACTTCAAAATGAGATAGATTCAAAAAGATATTAGTAATGAAATGTTTCTCTGGATTATTCCTTTAACCTAAACGAAAGCTTTTTAAGCACATGCTAGAAAAAGTAAGTAAAAGGTATCATGACCAGAGTCTATGAATTCTTAAAACACCAAAAATCAACCCCCCAAAAAGAGAAATAGAAACATTTTGGATTCTACCTGACAAATTTCCGCCATTCTTCTACAAAGAACTGTGACACAATGTAGAGGACATCTGTATCCTAGAACAGGAAATCACATTAAAGCAGCCAGCACATCATCGCATTCTTAACCTGAATCCTTTAGGGGAAAATAGTTTTCCATGCACTAAGCTTTATGAATAAAATGGAAACACAGCCCGTCACCAAGAAACAGAGTTAGAGTAAAGCCCCCTGATTAGAAAAAAACTAGACAAAGAGAATCAGAGCAGCTCAGGGTTGTTTGGAAACAATTCAGCAGAAAAGCCTCTGACACACAAGACGAATTCTCTCCTTGGAGGGGACCCTTGTACCTCTGGCCAGTTACTAAGACAAGGTCTGCTTTTGTCCTGGAATAGATTCGGGAGCGAAGTCTTTTGCTCGTTTGCAATCATCTTATGTAAGGCTTCGTTTTCTTCCCCTTCTCTTTCTAAAATCTGGAAGAGAATGAAGCAATCAACCACCTCCTGCTGACAGCACGGACCTGCCTCCCCCCACCCTGGGCAGAAGAACCAGGCTCCTACTGGGAAGTGGGCGCAGGGAGGAGCCTTGTGCTCAATACCTTGCACTGCGAACAGCATTCTTTGTGACTGGGGAACTCGGGCGCCTTGGGGAAGTACTGCTGCAGTTTGCTCCAGGCCTCTGGAGAGACAAGCCTTCTGTCGTTTTCAGAGATGCACAACTCCCCTAACACACACCAAAAAAAAAAATTTTTTTTAACATTTAAACCAAAAACATCAATGTACAGCCTCCAAAGAGGATGTTTCCTATTTCTTAAACCTAAGAAATATATTCTCTCTTCTAAAGTGTTTAATTCTCTCTCTCTTTGGTTTCAGAAGTCTCTGATTTTATTTTCTCTCATTCTAAAGGAGCCGTTCCTTTGTGTCCTTCATTGTATCTGTGGTTGAAAAACCAGGCCATAAAGACAGATGCGTGAGACCAGCGCCATGCATGTTTCCTGTCTGTCTTCCTGCCGGAGGGGGCTCCCGGGATCCTGGGGGCTCTGTGTGAGGCAGGGCTGCGGAGCAGCACTTGGTCTCCGCCCACACTCCCTCACAGCTTCCTGCAGGCTGCACTTCCTCCCGTTTGGTCGCGCTGCTTCATTGAAATCGCCCTGAATTAAAGTGGTATTTTCAAGGTGGTGTCCAGTCTCTTAAGTTACGGATTCAGAGATAAATAATTATCGACTGTACAACTGATAAACTGTGTCCAGAGAAGATCCTGTTAGTTTCCTACTGTCATCACCCCACTCCCTGTGGATCTTTAAAAACCCACAGAGAAAAAAACAGGACTGGTCACCACCACCCTTCCTCTTCCCGGAAGGCCGTGGGAATGGCCAAAGGGCAGAAACCTGCAACCTCAGCAGCCCCTGCCTCTCCCCCAACTCTACCCCTCTCCACCTGTGGTTCTCATTTTCATTGATTCAGCTTCTCCTAACTGATGAATTAATCAACTGTCCCTATGTACTAAATGGGTCATTACCCAGAGAACCATCTGTAAGTTCCCAAGGCCATATGTTTTTCTATCCCCGTTTGCCAGGCACCTTCATGTTTGTTAAAATAAAGCTTTCTAAAAGCAATGATCATTCTGCCCTCGTCAGTTTGGCTCAATGGATGGAGCACTGGCCTGTGGACTGAAGGGTCCTGGGTTTGATTCCGGTAAAGGTTTGATACCTCCACTGCAGGCTCCCAGCCCAGGTCAGGGGACATGCAGGAGGCAACCAATCTATGTGTGTGTCTCTCACATTGGTGCTTCTCCCTGTCTCTCCCTTTCCCTTCTTTTCTCTCTGAAAGTCAAATATCCTTGAGTGAGGATTAAAAATAAATAAATAAAATAAAAGTATATATATAAAAAAAAATCTTGAGACACACACCAGTGAATATCACTGGTTTAAAAAAAAAGTTTTTACTAAAATAAAATAAGTATCTTCTTTGCTTCATGTGTTTTATATAATAATAAACAAATTGAGCATTAGAAAAATTAATATACCTAGGGATGCCACAGCTGATGAATAATGAAGTTGAACTATGAACCCAGGTATGTTCATTCAAACTCCATAATTTCTAATACTGATAAATATATCTTCATAATTGCCACCCTTCGCCTCTTATTGACCTTCGAATAATCCCAAGGAATTATCACTTTGCTTTAATAAACTTAATGCCAGAGAAAAATGGGTCACAATGTAAAATTTAACTTTCTTTCTGAATAGGCTATTAACTTAAATTTCCTCTGGGGCTATAAAAACTTACTCCAACATGCATACCCTAAGACACAATTAGGGAATATCTTTAAAAGATTAATTGATTATCCAAGCCTAGTATAGTACATCTTTATAGTGAAATATAATGCAGCCATAATAAGGAAAAGTATATTTGTATGACCTGATTTTCTAGAAAGCACTCCAAGGCAATTAAAAATAATTTTAAGTGGTTTTTTTTCTCCCTTCCTTCTTAAAGAAAAAAAAGAAAAAAAAGAAAAAAAAGGAAAAAAGTCTTCCTCTGTACATGAGTGGTATAACTCAATTTGTTTAAAAAAGGGGAATTCTGTTACAAAAAAATAAGAAAATTCAGCCAAAACCTGTTTGGCTCAGTGGTAGAGCGTCGGTCTGCGGACTGAAAGGTCCCGGGTTCGATTCCGGTTAAGGGCATGTACCTTGGTTGATGGCACATCCCTGGTAGGGGGTGCGCAAGAGGCAGCTGGTCGATGTTTCTCTCTCATCGACGTTTCTATCTCTCTCCTTTCCTCTCTGTAAAAAAAAATCAATAAAATATATTTTTAAATAATAAATAAATAAATAAGTAAATAAAAGAAAATTCAAAACAAGCACATCGGGGGTGGGGGGGGGGAAGAGATTCGGGGGCATGTGCCTTGGTTGCTGGCACATCCCCAGTGGGGGGTGTGCAGGAGACAGCTGATGGATGTTTCCCTCTCATCAATGTTTCTAGCTCTCTATCTCTCCCCCTTCCTCTCTGTAAAAAAATCAATATATTTAAAAAAACAAAAACAAAAAATTGCATTTACTTTCAGTTGCCTCTTGAACCACCACCAAACCACAGTAACGCGAGTTTTTAAAGAGATTTAAAATCATAATGATGGATGAACAGAACAAAGAGGGAACAACAGCAACAAAAATTTTAGAAGCTTAAAAGCAGACAAATGACCGAAACCGGTTTGGCTCAATGGATAGAGCGTCGGCTTGGGGACTGAAGGGTCCTGGGTTCGATTCCGGTCAAGGGCATGTACCTTGGTTGCGGGCACTTCCCCGGTGGGGGGTGTGCAAGAGGCAGCTGATCGATCTCTCATCGATGTTTCTAGCTCTCTCTCTGTAAAAAATTAGTATATTTATATTTAAAAAAAGCAGACAGATAAAACATGAAAAATGAATTTTAAATCGGCAAAAGTCAAGAAATAAGAAGATTTATTACACTGCACAACTGCCTAGAATTGTGGTCACCTGAAGTACAGGTGGAGCTAAAAACAAAACAAAACAAAACAAAACAAAACAAACACCCACAATGGATTAGAAGTCTATTGAAGAGGCAGTTACTATTTTCTGCATCCTCTAGATTCTACAGATAGCTGCCCCTCTACCCACAAGGAATACCTTCTCTGGGGACATATGAATCAGCCCTCTGCACCAGGGGCACAAAGCACAGAGAGGAGTGAGGCAATGCGCTGACAGAGGCAGCCTTCTAAGCCCTCTTCTCTCTACTCCAGAACAGGCACAGCCATGGCTGCACTTCCAGGCAGGAGAATGGATGCCTATGGAGAAATCTGAGCAGCCCAAGAGCAGATACTGACATCCGGAATTTCCCAGTGAGGCCCTCCTGGGTGCACCCGGCCTCCACAAGCATCTCACACATGAGGGAGGGAGGGAGGGCCTGCACCAGGACAGGCCAGGGTGAGATGCCAGTGAACACTGGGAATAAAAATCTTACAAGCTGCCAAAAGGGAATGAAAAGAATCAATTACGATAATGGACAAATGGCACAATGAAAGATAGTGCAAGTCCTTTAAATTTCTGAAGTAATTTGAGAAAATTATGCTCGTAGGTAAAACTATCCATTAAATGTGGTGATCTTGAGCAAATGACTCTTAAATCTCTAAGCCTCAGCTTATTTACTCATCAGTACAACTGATATGACAGTAATACTGAACTCTCGGCACTGTTTTATAGACGAGTTAATATCTACACACTTAGAAAACTACCAGCATGGGTATAAACATTCAGAAGATGACTACTATCATCATCTCACTAGTACTTGTATTCAGTACTACCATCACTACCACCATTACCATCACCATCACATTCTAGGAACAAATCTATGTATATAAAAGGCTAATATGCAAAGTGTCTGACTGTCCAACTGGTTGCTGTGATGTGCACTGATCAACAGGGGCAGATGCTCAAGGCAGGAGCGGCCAAGCTGCAGTGACTTGGCAGAGGCAGTTCTCGGATGAAACAGAGCTGGAATATCTCACGGGGCTGCAGAATTCTACCTCTGGCCTAGGGTTATGTTGTTGCTGCGGCACTGGTTTACTGCACACCTGTGTTTCTGTTCCACACCCTGTACAACAGCAACTTTGCAGAATGCCTTCTCGCACTCCGGGAATCCTCAGGGGACAGAAAGCAGGTTTTGACCTGATCCCTGCAGACCAAGCCAAGGGACCCTTCCTGCTGGAGGAACCCACTCATTCCACAGATGCCAGGGTGGGGGGGATCACAGGAGGTTGGCTCCAGGGCCTGCTCAACCCACCTTGCTCAGTCCCACCCCACCGGCCACCTTCTAATTAACTTCCTTTCAATATGCACGAATCCATGCACCAGGTCACTAGTTTTAATATAAACCTAATGAGTGAAGTTAATCTGATCTCAGAGACACAGTACATGGACAAGTGATGTCCACAAAAACAGTAGTTGAGAACTATCATTTAGCAAGAAAAGGCTAACAAGTACCAGATCAAGCTAAGGAACTAAAAAGCAGCTCAAGTACAATTTCTGCCGAGGAGTGCAGCACATGTCCTGAAATCACATTCAGCTCTGCCAGGCTTTCTAATCAAAACTGTAATACTGAAATGACAAGATGAGACAGGAGGTGGGAAGACAGAGCAAAAGTCAGTGGGCGAAGGAATGAGTTGACGATCTGAGTTCTGGCACTGTTTCAACAGTAGGACAGATCACAGATCAAGCATTCCTCAGCTCTCAAAAAAGGAAGGCACTCATCCTAGGTCCACATCATGCTGTGAAGGTAAAATAAGAGATGACAGAAAGCATTTCGAGAAAAACTCATCTACTTTTGGCTATTTACTCCGCCTCCCCCTATTTATTTATTCAATCTGTCTACCACCCAGGAAGCCACTTCTCTCACTTTTGTGCTCCTGCTGTGACTTCAAAGTATAAGGTGGACAAACTGGGCTGTAGGTGATGGGACGGGAAGGAGAGATGGGTTTGGGATGCAGAGACTTAAATCCAAATCCCAGGATGGCCTCCCTCACCACCTAGCAGTGTGGTAAATGAGAATGCCACTTAGCTAGTAAGCTAAAGTGCAGGGAGACAATATCCAGAAAGATTAGCCTGCAAGGACCATTCAGGGGAGAATTGTCACCACTGTCATCCAGGACCCTTGATATAAAAGGGCTACAGTGCACGAGGGTGAGATATTACGTATCGGTTCATGATGAACCAATGAAGTGAGAACCAGAATTAGGAATTTATTAGGACCAACAAGCATTCTGAGATTGGGCAACATTAACACACAACAAGAAACACACATGCCCTGGCTGACGTGTAGCTCGGTTGGGCTTTGACAGGTACACCAAAAGGTTGATCCTCAGTAGCGGGCAGGCAGAAGGCAGCAATTCAACGTTGTGCTCTTACATAGATGTTTCTCTCTCCCTCTCAAAAAAACAAAAAACAAAAACGAAAGAAATGCGAAGATGTGGATTAGAAGAAGAAATCAAGTTTTTAATAGGGGTGAGGGGTCCTTACATAGTAGAAGGCTTTGAAAAGCAGAGACCTGCTTGACTTTCAGAGTGCTAACAGAATAGATTATCATGTCTCATATATAAAGAAACCCTTGCAAAATATTACTTACTAGTAGTGAGCTCTAACTAGAACCAAATAAGAAATACATAAACAAATAAATAGGAGTGTCTAAGAAACTAAACCAAAAAATACCCATAATAATAATAATAACCCTATATATTAAAACCCAAATACGCAAATCGATACGCACTGACCACCAGGGTGCAGAAGCTCAACACAGGAGCTGCCCCCTGGTGGTCAATGTGCTCCCATAGAGGGAGCACCACTCAGTCAGAAGCAGGCTCATGGCTGGCGAGCACAGTGGCGGTGATAGGAACCTCTCCCACCTCCGCAGCAATACTAAGGAACAGCGAGCAGAGAAGTAAGGAGCAACAAGCAGGAAGGCATAAGAAGTGAGGGGTGAAGGGTCCCTAACAGCGAGAGGGCGCATACTGGGATGAGGCAACCCCCGCCGCACCAATTTCGTGCACCAGGCCTCTAGTAAGAAATAGATGAACACTGTTCTCAAAGTGTTCAAACTGGACAAAGACAGCCGTGGGAAACAACTAGAAGTCTTCCTTTCCACTCAGATAGCCCTTCAAGGAGACAAGTGACCAAAAAGTTCCCTCTCCACTAAATATAGGAAAAATCCTATTTTGTGTACATATACATATATTGCAAGGAGTGAAGAAAAGGTGTGTGAGGCACTGGCCTGAAATCAGGCAGTAGAATCTAACAGTTAAGAAGGATATGAGAATAGAAACATCAGAATCAAGTGCAGTTTAGAAAAACCATGGCTGCTGTATTATGGCCGAACTCTTAAGAGAAAGTACAGAACAGTTAACAAAATATTTACAATGTGCTCAAGTCTGACAACAGAAGATTTATGCTTCTAGCTTACCATGTGGACACAGAATGTCTTCATTAAAATTTAATTCCTCCTCTTCTTCTTTTCTTTCTTCCTTTGATTCATCTAATCAAAGGAAACACGGAGAGTAACTTGCTCTGGCTGTTGTATTTAAAGGTCAAAGTAGCAGAGATAATACTTGCACAATTTTGAACAAAGAAAACGTTAAATAAAACATTCTTAAAATTTGACCCAAGCAATTCCTACACAGTTCTGCTAAGTGTTATATTTCTTTCCTTGAAAAGAAAAGGGACTATCTGAATGGCAGTTTAACTTTTTAAAGAATTAGATTATGCAAGAAAATGTAGCTTTTTCCCCAAAAAAATTTAAAAGCAATTTACATATCCTTCCATTAATTCTAGTCAAGGTGTTCAAAATGGTGTCATAACCAAGTTAATAATCTGCATGTTATGTCGTTCTCTTATTTAAAGGGTTGAACAGAAAGCTTTAGAGGCCAATGAAATAAAAACCTAACCTTTAATGTCAAACACATATAATAAGAACTTTGCTTATCTTGTTAACATTTCTCTCCTACCTAGTATCTACTTTTCTTACTTGCCCACGCTGTATCAACATCAATTTTTAGTTTTATATACCAGGAACATGATCAAATAAGAGAAGTCTTAAGTATCAGGAGATCAGAATAGTTATGATATCCATGGGTTTTCCAAGTTAAGAACACAATACATTTTAAAAATTAATTAATAAAAGAATAATTTGTAAAATGTTAAGAAGTTCAAGTATAGAGAAATGAGCAAAGGAAGGACATAATCAGGTAACTCTGGCATCTGTCATATATGCACAAATAACAACTCAAATATATGAGGAGGGCTGACCTCAGTGATGGTTTTAAAAGATTTAAGCCTTGACACTGCTAAGTCATTTTTCATCTTCATTAGTCTGGGGGAAAAATGGATGTGACTGATGTACTCTTTACATTGATGAAAGCATGAGGAAATAACTTCTGGAGGAAATTTACCACTGTGTGTCAGTTATAGCAATTATATATGGAGATAATTCTCTGGTCCAGGAATTTCTACAAATTCATTTGAACTTCAAATTTAAGTGTTAAAAATCATAGTTTAAAACTAATAATGGCTTTGGTGTTTTTATTTTCTCAAAGGGGTATTGACACCAAGGCCACACCAAGCAAAATGGAATGATATATGGCTGAATGCAGAAAATGAAAGTATTTCAGTAAAATGGTTAAGACTATTAGAATGGTAAAAATACATGTAAATAATATTTGAAGATGAGAAAAATTAAATGAAATAATTGCTTATGGATCACTAATTTACCTCTGAACTGATCAAACCTCTAGTTTCCATTTTTAATCTAAAAATAGTTCCTATGCCTTAATCTTCCTTGGTATCTTATAAAACATGGATTATAAAATTAAGTTTAGTGGTTTGCTGAGACTAACATAATTTCCTATTTGAAAGCACAGCTTTAAAACAAAAACAACAAAAAAACTCAGCCCTATCTGGTTTTGCTTAGTGGATAAGGGTCCTTGGTTGCAGGCACATACCCAGTAGGGGGTGTGCAGGAGGCAGCTGATTGATGTTTTTAACTTTCTATTCCTCTCTGGAAAAAAAAAAAAAAAGCTATCCAAAAGCTGACCGCTCATCCGAAGCCCAGGCTTCTCTACTTGAGGAAGGCAGCCTGTCAGTGTGGCCGATAATCCACAACCAACACGTCCTGGCCTTGCAGCACACTCTGCAGCTTGCAGCAGCCCCCACTTCCTGAGCTGCTGGACCTTTGACCTTTGCTCGATGTCATTAGCTTAAACACTTTTCATTTGTTATGAGGCATTTTTTTAGAGCTGTAGGTTTAATAAAAATGTTCTTTAAAATCACACGGATTGGAATCAAACCAATTTTACTAAAAACAAATGTTTACAATTTTGTGGTAGAATTCAGGCCACAGACACAGGTTCTAGAAGGTACCTTTATTCAAGGTGTTGCCGTTCATTTTTCCGTTGCTTTGGTCTGCGTCACCATCTTGCTCATCGAGCTGCTCAAGAGCCAGCTGGCGCCAGCTGCGCAAGGACGATTTTCCCACCCAAAAGCCATCGCTGCTGGGAACAGAGAGAAAGTGAAATCATGCATGTCACGTTTCCTCACATCCTCCCCTCCCTTTTCTTCCTTCTAAAGGCCACAACTAAAAGGAATCTCAAATATTCAAAGTCTGCTGTTATGTACACAATTTCTCAAACCCACTTCCTCATTTAGGCCATTTTTACTCCTTATTACTGAACTGCAGGTACTGTTTTCCATCCTAAACCTTACCCTGCTTCTCCTAATCCTCATTTACATTTATTCCGGTCACATCAATCAACTGGCTGCTTTCTTTCACTTGATTACTATTCACAATCACATACAGCTGTGCCTCTAAGTATACAGAGACGCACTCACATATATACATCCATGTCTACACATAAACACACATTTAGGCTGTTTGTGGAATGACTAAAAACGGTCAACTAGATTAATCTTTGTTTGGGCAATACACAACTTAAAAAAAATCCAGACATAATAAATGCCATCTGACTCTATTGTATCTGAATCCACAGGTACTATAGGGAGTGTGTGTGTGTGTGTGTGTGTGTTGGGGGAGGGGGGTGCCCCGCTCAGCATACTCTAAAACATGGTGGCCAAACTTCCAGGCTCATGGACCACCAGTTGGCGACCACTGCTGTAAAGGATCCTGGATGTTCCTTTCCTTTCTTTCTCAATTGGATTGACTGGGCTGCATGTTTCTCACAAGGATGTCTGCTGGGTACCATTTGTTAACACACAAACTTCATTCTGTAGATCTAAGGCGGACACCACCAGACCAGACAGTATGAAGTTCCACCACGGCTTTCCATAATTCCATGCCTAAACACAGGCATGCACCCCTGCCTTGTTCTGACCTGGCCTCAGGTCCACATCTCTGCTTCTGTCTTTCTAATGATGGGATACTGTCGCAAAGGCCGTGTGACTCAGCTTTCTGTGTCTTTACCACACTGGCAGTCACAGCAAAACTTAACGTGGTTCTGCCATGCATATCATCACACTTCTCTCTTTAAAAAAAAAAAATCCAATTCCCTCTTATCTAAAAATAATCAGTTACCGGGTTAGTTCTTCTAATTGTTTTTTCTTAGTTTATCATAAAAAATATACACGGTGGAACATACCCCTTTATGGTTGTTTTTAGCAGATTAGTAACAGTCTTATAATCTTCATTTAGTTGGTTCTTCAGTCGCAGCACACGACAGCGCTCTACTACACACTCCTTGCACAGGGCTTTCACTAGGGCCAGAGAGAATGAAAGAAAATAGTTTACTCACGTACAGATTTCCTGTCAAGAAAATGTTCCACCATTTCAGGAAACACAAAAGAATTCTAAACCAAGGTCACAAATGCTGACAACACAGCAAATTGATATGTATCACCCTCGCTGGTTTCGCTCAGTGGATAGAGAGCGACAGCCTACGGACTCAAGGATCCTGGATTCAATCCCCAGTGGGGAGGTGTGCAGGAGGCAGCCAATCAATGATTCTCTTTCATCACTGATGTTTCTCTCCCCCTCTCCCTTCTTCTCTAAAATCAATAAAGATATATATATATATATATATATATATATATATATATATGTATGTATATATATATATGTGTGTGTGTGTGTGTATATATGTATGTATGTGTGTGTGTGTGTGTGTGTGTGTGTGTGTGTGTGTATATATATATATATATATTTTTTTTTTTTTTTTTTTTTTTTTTTTTTTTTTAAGCCGGGACCGGTTTAGCTCAGTGGATAGAGCGTCGGCTTGGGGACTGAAGGGACCCGGGTTCGATTCCGGTCAAGGGCATGTACCTTGGTTGCGGGCATATCCCCAGTAGGGGGTGTGCAAGAGGCAATTGATCGATGACTCTCTCTCATCGATGTTTCTAACTCTCTATCTCTCTCCCTTCCTCTCTGTACAAAATCAATAAAATATATTTTTTTTAAAAAGATATTTTTTTTTTAATTTTAAAAAGACAGTGGTTTCTAAACATTAAAAAAAAACAAAAAACCCTACAGCAGAAGGTACAGGTTGAGAAGGTAGGTGATTTCAATTATTAATACAATGAATTTAATTCACTCTACCTAAAATGTTTATATCTACTTATGAAATCAGTATTTTTAACGTTAGTGAAATATTCTACCTTTTTTTCCCTATCTTTCTTCCTCTCTCCCTTCTCTGAAATCAATAAAAATATTTTTAAAATTGCTATATATCCTAAATTATTTTGTAATGTTAATATCAACATAATAACACTGTTATAAGAGGTAAAATGCTATATGTCAAAACTATCTGTACCATGAAATGCAATTTTGGATGCCAATTTCACAAGACACCAATCAAATAATGGTGCGGTGGGAAGTCAGTGCATCTGACAACCATAAATGTAATGTTAATCGTTTTTAAGAGATTCATGGGAATACTTCAAAGCCCAGAACAGGAAAGGGAAAACAAAAAGCAAGGCCTGCTTTAAAGCACAGTGCCAGGAATCATAGAAATTTTACTTTTTGGAAGATCATCCCATTGCTATTTATTGATTGTGAATAAAAAAACAGAAAATTCCAGATGCGCACAAGCCCTGGAGCATATAGTTAAGTGCCAGTTTTTATGCAGAAGTGGTTCATGGTCAGAAAATAGCGTTTATTTTAGGGGGCGGGCGGGAAGGGGTAGTGGTTTTGTTTATTAAGAGTAGAATCACACAGATTCCATTCATAAGCTAAGTAACAATGTGCACATCACATACTGACAGAAGTCACTATAGCAGGGATGCGTAAGATCTATAATCAACTAGACCAGGCTTCAAGTACTTTGATTTAAAAAATAAATATATATTGCCGAAGCCGGTTTGGCTCAGTGGATAGAGCGTCTGTCTGTGGACTGAAAGGTTCCAGGTTCGATCCCGGTCAAGGGCATGTGCATTGGTTGCGGGCACATCCCCGGTATGGGGTGTGCAGGGGGCAGCTGGTCGATGTTTCTCTCTCATTGATGTTTCTGGCTCTCTATCTCTCTCCCTTCCTCCTCTCTGTGAAATATCAATAAAATATATTTAAAGAAAAAAAAATTATATATATATATATATATATATATATATTTACTATATATTTTTTAGAAACAGAAAGCATCGATTTGTTTTCCTATTTATTACATACATTCACTGGTTGATTCTTGTATGTGCCCTGACCATGGGTCAAACCTGCACTCCTGGTGTATCAGGTGATGCTCCAAATGACCTACCCAGCCAAGGCTCAAGCATAAAGCAACAAAATCCTACCAGATGATTTTCTCAAAAGTATCCTATTCCGTCTGCTTTGAAAAAGATAAAAGCCCATTGAGCAGTACCAGTTTCTTTCCTAACACCATAACTATACCATGTATAATGCTACTTCTGCTTTCTTTAGTAAATCCTTCTTGCAGTTTAAGGAACCTTTAGTTTGGGTCCAATGACCATGGAGACCACATGACGAGGACCTACAGCATCACTCTTTTTTAAGCAGAGAAGACATCGGAAATTACCAGTGAGTCTCGGTCCTCCTCCGTATCTACTGTAGAAAACGTCAGCTGCATATTCGGATATCCTCTTCATGATCGATATTTTATCGGGGTGCAGCTTGTCATGGGAACAAAGGCAGGCATGGTTATCAATAGGCTTGGTAGGTGTCGACTCATCCAGCCACTTCTGCAGCCACTCGAGAGAGACAAACTCATAGGGCTCTGAGAAGAGAGCAAGGGAAAGAGCCTATGTATTTTCACAGCTTTTAAACTACGTGATACATTCATTTTTCTCAAAAGACAATGCAAACTCTGTCCAAAGTTCGCAGAATCAGAATCATTGCTGAGGGGGAAATGTTGGATAAATATGACACAGAGCTCCGTTTAACTACCCTATCCTTCCTTCCTCTGGTTTCAAGCTGCTGTGTGACGGGGGTGAATCTGCTGAGTGCCTAGGGGATCGGCTGGTATTATTAACCACATTCTACAAAAGAGGTATCCACAGAGAGAAGTGTCTTGCTTGATAGCACAGCAGAGCTTTGATCAGGACACCGTGATTGTTGACAAGCCGCTCCATGCTGGCTCGCAAATCACATCACCTCATCCCCTACTGTGTATTCCATAAAACCCTTTTCATCAATCCTTTTCATCAATATATAACATACATCTGAAAAGTAAAAGAAGCCTGACTGAGTTCTAAGTCAGAGATTAACCCCATCGGCGATAACCGCACTTTAACGGGCCTGTTTCAGTCACTGAATTTTTTTTCATCCAAGATGATATGGGCACATGGAGGAAGAGGTAACTGATTTCCCCACCCAATCCATATCATCATCTATTTATTATTTGTTTCAAGGAAATAAGCGACTTTAAATGAATTCCAGGATGAAATGCACTAGAATTGAATTTCAATTTGAAGTAGTAAAAATTAAGAAAAAAACAAACACCTCAACCTGAGTTTTAATTTGGGAAAACAAGAGTCCCTGAGTTCCCTACAAGCCAAAATTAAAGGTAAAGGGCCAGCTTTGATTACTTACAAAGATCTCCAGTGAGTCCAAGCATAAAACATAGAAGAAAACATACAGAGGTTGAATTTATATATTTGTATTATATACTACTTCTGATGAGATCTGAGGGATGGACAGTTCACCTCAAAGCCCATTTTTGAGCAATTTTAGACTTCTCTTGAGTTACAAATCTAGAAAACTAACTCCCATCTTACGTTTAGCATAAAACATTTCAACATTTACAAAAACAAAGTTCAGGATTTCTGGATGCTTGTCTGTGCGAAAACTGTACTGATCAGCTCAGACACGGCTGCAGAGGAAGAACAGGTGACTGACTACAGGCCGAGACCAAGGTCTAATCCAAGTTCTGCCACCAAGAGACTGAACTTGAGCAAGTCACTTAAACTCTCTATGCTTCATGTCTTTTATTTGTAAAATGAAGGTAATAATACCTGCCTTCTACCTACCTCACAGGGATGTTGTTGAATATAAAAGATAAGATATGTGAAGCATTTTGAGCTTTTTGGAAGAAAAGAGATACAGAAAAGTTAATTATACAATTCATACAATATATAAAAGAGGAGACCTTAAGATTTAGTAGAGGTAACATGGCCATGGCATTTCACAACATATAATGATACGGTTAATGAAATTTAAAATACCTCTCGTTTTATTTGCCATTTATCAAGTTTAACTTGGCAGAGATCGAGTTAAGAAAGCGAAATCCCTCTCTAAGAAAGGAAAAATCAAAGTCTTAGCATGTCTGACTTTTCCCCCCCGCATATAGTCACTTCAATTAAAATTTAGTAATCTGAAGGCTGTCAAAGGCGGGAAAACAGGATTTCCACACAGGGCAACTTTCAAGGGTTCACCAGGTGTTCTTGTTTCCCCCACACCTGGGGAAGTATCTGCTGTTTATAAATGAAAAAACAAGCCATGAGAATCTTGACCTTTGTAAGAAATATAGGGAAACTAACAGAGCAAATAGCACTGCCTGCCAGGGGGTGTCTGCTGGGTCAAAGCCCAGAGCGCCTCAATCCCGGCCCATGCAATGGCAATGGGACTCAGAGGCGATCAGTTCCAGACATTTTCCAATCCCCATGCCAGAGTGAACTTCCCAGTGAAGCTTCCTGTTTGGGTTCAATGCACTACAGGAAGATTAGAAAAATCATGTGTGGTGTATAGTGTGGAACAGAGCGGAGACTGGGCCTAGAATTCTGGTGTAAATCCATAGTCCCCAGGTGTGCAGAGTTGGGCGCCAGTTTCAGTGTGCTGAGAAACCCATGGAAGGGAAGTGACTGAGCTCTTTCTTTCCACTTTCCATCCCCATCACATTAAAGTTGGATCAATCTCTGCCCAGAGCGTCCCTGGCAGTCAAGGCCTAGCATCCGTTTTAATGGTTAAGTCAGAATCCACTTATGGAGCACTTTTTTACACCACAAATGTTTCTGCCCGAAAGAAAGGCTCCTGGGAGGTTCTCAAAGACGTGCTCTGCTTCTGTGATTCGCAAACTAAGCACTGCCTTCCAGAGGCATGGGTAAGCCAACTCGCCAAATGGCGATAAACACTCTTTTTAATGATCAATCTGGAGATAACACACTGTATAAAATCTCAGCATTTGACAAACCAGCAAAGCTTATTGTTACAATATTTACCAAAGGGAAATGCACATTTGGATTCAAAGTTATAATATTTTAATGCCTGGATTTTGAACAAAATATTTTCTTTTGGAGCATTATTAAGTCTATAAAGATTGAGTCATTAAAAAATATTTAAAATACTTTATCTACAGATAATTTAATATTATTTGATTACAGCACAGTCCTTACAGACGGAATGAAAACAGCCAAGAGAAGCATAAGCATGTGCTGACTTGACATCTTTGGACCATGCGGATTTACAATATAAAGAGTGGTTCCAAAGAGCATTTTCCTTCAGACTCCGCAAATCCTTTTCTCTTGTCCAATGAATAATGAAAACGGACTAAAGTTCAATAAATTGACTCCCAGTTCCGAACTCCAATGACTGAATTTACAACTTTGAATCATAGGTTCATTTCCAAATCATTTCCAAGAAAATTAAGGTCAGTTTTTAATTCTTTAGGACAATCCCAACCCTTGAAACAGAGAGACAGTAATAGTTTACAAAGAAATCTCAGAATCAAATCATTTACGAAGAACTTTTAAGCCCTGCCCAGTGTGGCTCAGTTGGTTGGAGCATTGTCCAGTACACGGAAGATTTTGGGTTCAGTTCCCTATCAGGGCACATACCTACATTGCACGTTTGATCATCTGTCAGGACCTGTAGGCGAGGCAACCAACCCATGTTTCTCTCTCCTTTCCCTTCTCTCTAAAAATCAATGAATATATCCTCTGGTGAGGATTTAAAAATAAAGAACATTTAAGGGGTATTCCTCAGATTTAGTCATTTATATTCATCTTTTGTTTAAGGTTCTAACAGTAATGGATAATTAAGATTATAAAAAAGACAAAATACGTAAGTACAATTATGCTTTAGTGTTTATGTTCTAAAATTAGGATTAAATTGCCTCTCTTAAGCAGAAATTGGGTTTAGAGGAATTCATGTCTATGAAAGGACTAAGACAATATATTTCTACAAATGGCATACCAGCTTTAAAAAGTTGAGGTTTCCTTTTTATATTAAATTTCAATTTAACCTAAGAAATAGTACTCATATTAATAAGAATGCCCGTTAATACTGCAAGGGTACAAAGTACAAGGAAACCAAATAGCCTGAACTGCCTCCATAGTAACCCAATCCAATTTGTCCTCAAGTTACTATCTCACAAAATAGGAATATCTATTTTGTCTTATATAAAGAGTGCTGACCTAAACCTTATAATTAAGAGCTTCCCATTTTGAAAAGTACATGATAATGAAAATTATATGAAATGCTACACATCACATTAGTGCTGGTTTACATGGCAATTTTATAGCATACAAGGCTGGCATTAGTGAGTTATAAGACGGGGAAGGGAAAAGTTCGTACACATTTGTGAACACAGAACAAGGCACTCAATGGCAACAGTGCTGTCCCAGAATATCTTACAGACCAGCTCCAGCAGGTAACCTTTGGTACAGCTCCTTAACCTCTTCGTGCTTTGCTTTGCCTTTGTCCACACTTTGCTTACGCATCTCGGCCATTTCCACACACCACTCTTCAAACTTGGAATTATCCCGATCTACCAGCTCTTGAAGAAAGGCTGTTCAAAACAGAAAGAGAAAACAAAACCGCTTTATCCAGTTTCCAGACACCGAACCACGCTGGTCTCTAAATTACATAAAACACTGGCTCATATTTTGGAGGCAGTTTCCTACTGTGGTCTCCTTTTCTGTTAGAGACCCCCAAACTGCAGGCAAAAGTGAAACTGAACAGACACTAGAGTGAGTCCCCACCTGGCTATCCATGGTATTACAGAACCATGAGCCGGCTCGAAACACAACTTCAAGATACATGCTATGCCCTGGCCAGTGTGGCTCAGGTGGGTGCCATCCTGTGCACCGAAAGGTTGCCGGTTCGAATTCCGGCAAAGGCAGCACATACCCAGGTTTTGGTTCATTCCCCAGCTGGGGTTCATGTGGGAGACAGTGATGCTATTATCTGACATTAATGCTTCCCTCTCTCTCTCTCTCTCTCTCTCAAAACCGTAATAACATGTTTAAAAACACAACACACACACACACACACACACACACACACACACACACACACACACACACACGGTGCTACAGAGCACAGAACAGTATAGATAAAATGGCAACTCAAGAATTCTACAGGCCAGTAGCAACTCTTCTTTTTTGAAATCTAGAAAATGCTTACAAATTGAACAAAATAAAACAAAATTGTGGTTTTAAAGTGTTTTTATTTGATTTCAGAGAAAGAGTGAGAAAAATCAATGGTGAGATAGAATCACTGATCTACTGCTTCCTGTACTCTCCACACTGGGGATATCAAGGCATGTGCTCTGACCGGGAATCAAACCATGGCCTCCTGATTCATAGGCTGACGCTCAACCACGGAGCCACACCAACCAGGCCCAATCTGCTCATTAAATACTTCTGGATTGCCTATTGGATTTTTTTAAATTGCATTTTTTTGGGGGGAGGGGAGGAGATTGTTTTTTGTTTGTTTGTTTGTTTGTTTTTGTGAGAGGTTAGGGAGGTTCAATGGAATAGTTCTGTTAAAGGATTCCCTATTTTAAAAACTCACTACGTTAGAGTAAATTTGTAATGATTATATCTACTTTCACCAATACTAACAATATGCAATCAATCAACCTATATTAACAACAAAAAACAATCTGTTCCTGTCCCTGACCTTCCAGCATGGTGTTCTAAGATACTTGCCTGACACAATAATGGGAAGTGGCTTACCTGGTACCTGGACGGACGTATTGGGCTTTTCTTGAGTCTGAAGTCTATAAACCAACATGTATGCGTTCCGAGAGCAGTGAGTTCCTTTGCCACACTTCGGTTTACGTGTCTGGGACTTGGAAGGTTCTGCTGAGGGAAAGAAATCAAAGATGATTAAATCAGAATGCTTAGTTTGTTTATTCTTTCATGGGGTGGGGTGGACTTAAAAACAATTCCTATAATATATGATCAAGAAACTTATATATGATCTAAAACATTAAAATGCAGCACAAATTTAGCAGGCCCTACAGATGTATGAATCTTTAAAAATGTTTCCTCCCTCCACCCCCACTACCTTGCCTGCCATATTCCATTCTCAAAAAATGGTAAGTAGTGTTTTTCATGAGAACATACCTGGAACAACAATAAAAGTACTACTACTTGGGTTTTATTTTAATATTGGCCTTAAATTATAAAAATAAATCCAGACTTAATTCAATTGCCCAAAGAAATAAAATTAATACACTCTCCAAGACACTCTAATTAATAAAATTAATACACACACACACACACACACACACACTCTCCAAGACACTCTAACATGAAATGTTCTACCTGGCCTATAAATACCTACTATTCTTGTAAGAGTATTTTCTATATTTAAATCACAAGAATAGTCAGCACTTGGAGATCTATAGAAAGATTGTCCACATGCCTTGAAAGCCAGCCAAGCCAGCCAACTGCCATGCTCCACCGATTCTTTGGAAAAGTGGTTCTGATTCATTAAAAAACAGTGGCACAAAGACACACGCTCATTCCCATTCCTTTTCCCTTATTTAGATCCCGTCCAAATCTCATCGAAAAATGACAACTGGAAAACCTCAGCCAGAGTACTGGGAAAACCATGTACTCCCTTCAGGGAATAAATGCTTCAGGGAATAAACGGGTATTTTGGCCTAAGAAAACTATGTTGATGAGAGCTCCATACTAAGATACTATTTCAAGAAGTACTTTTTAAGGCAGACTCATCACTACAAAATGGCAAAAAGCTTCCTCCCCAGAGGTGCTGCTCCCCGCTCCATGGTTGGGATAAGACATTCAACAGGAAGGAGTAAGTACGGTCCTTGAAGCAAAGTTCCCTTGCTGTAATTAATGCCAAAAATAAATTTCCCGACCCAGAGAAAGGACTACAAATCCTACATATTAAATCTACTAGCCATCATGTTTAGTTTAATACTTACCATCGACTCCGTCTCTCCCAATTAACCTGATAACTGAAAACATTTAAATATTTGCCTTCAAACATGACATTATGGAAACCACCTCTAGAGCAAAATCTTTTTTTTTTTTTTTTAATTCAAGCATTGCTAATAAAAGATATTCAGAGATTATGTTTAATAAATACAAATATCCTTGACAGCCCATACAATCTTGGACCATAATAACTTATCACAAATATTTCTGGCAAAAAAATATTTATATTTTAAAAGGGCACTCACAACTTAAAGGTTTTACCTAGATCTTCCTCAATCCCTAGTTGTAATTTCTTCCCCTCCATCTTTTCTATGTCTTCATCGTTAAACTTATACCATTCGCCGGACTGTGGATCTTTCACGTGGGCGATGTAGTGGCCAGAATAAGCACTCACTCCTCTGTGTATGAGAACTGCACTGAGTTCATACACATAGGATCCACCTAGGAAAGAAGAAAGTGAAAATAAAATTTGGGGTAACAATATTTTTTCTTGTACTCTAAGCCTAAATAATAATGAATGCAATTCTTTATGCATCTGATAGAATGCTAAACATGTCACCTAAGATTAAAAGAAATTAAGACTTACATGATAATATAAGCTCACTATATTAATTCTCCATCCCTTCATAGACAGGAAAAGCTGTGGCATCCTGGGTACTCAGGGTTACAAAGCTACTCGGTATTATACTTTGCCTTTCCTGGGTAATTTGCCTGAGTGATATACTTAACAAAATTCTGTTCAAATTCTCCAACTTGTTACAAAAATCAATTACGCAAACTAATGAAAGATGACTGCAAAAGTAAAAATCTACTGCTTATGTAAAAGGACAATGTTTTCGGGGGGGGGGGGGGGGGGGGGGGGAAAGGAAGTCATTAAGAAAACCTGCCTTTCACAATAGGTATAGGTAAGACAAGAGAGAAAACATTAAAAATCTATACTGATTCTTCACTCAGATTTCTTCGTAAGCATTAAGTTCCTATTCTCCTTTAAATAAACAAGGCCTACACAGCCAATCAATGATTCTCTCATCACTGATATTTCTATCCCTCTCTACCTTTCCCTTCCTTTCTGAAATCAATAAAAAAATAATTTAAAAAATTAAAGCCTACACAAAACATCCTGTTGTGCCAGTGGTTTGGTAAGAAGGCTTTCTCCATACAGCAATATATCAGCAAATGAATATTTATATTTTAAGATACAACAAAGTATTTTAAAGTTAGAATATATACTTTAAAGATTCTAAACTTACCACATTATTTGTGTTGGAAAAAATCACTTCTACATTTTATTATTAAAAAAGGGAAAACAATTCATTAGCAATCTCACAGATAAAACTATTGATATTTATACCTGCAGGATTTTTCTAACAAATATCATTATCTTTCCATATCATTTAAATATTCTTCTAAAAATTATTTATAATGACTATGTACAAGTAACACACTATACTGGACAACTCCCATACTGTTCAATATTTAGGCTGGAAGCATTTTAGGGACATTACAAACAATAATTATTAGCTTTGTAGTAAAAATCTTTGCACGTTTCACCACTATAATTTCCTTAAAACTGTAACCAATCACTCATTCAACAAATACAAATGATGGACACGATTTAGGCACAGAGAACACAGGAAAGGACAGTCACAGCATTCTAGTAACTCAGTAGAAGACAGTGATGCAATTAATAGCTGTAGCAAAAAATACCTAACCCATCCCAATTGAAAATCATTTAGAATTTAAAATACTCAAATGCATTAACTCATTTACACCAGGAAACCTGTGTGTTTTTTAAACCAGGAATTCTTCATAGCATTTGCTTTTTTTAAATCATCACCTGAGGATATCTTTCCATTGCTTTTTTTTTTAAAGAGAATGGAAAGGATAGGGAGAGTCAGAGAGAAACATCGACATGTGAGACATGTTGATTGGTGGGATCAAGCCTGCAACCAAGGTGCGTGCCCTAGACCGGAACCAAAACTGGGATCTTTCAGCCTGCAGGCCAACACTCTATCCACTGAACCAGATAGGCTGGGGCAGTATTTCCTAAATTATTAATGATGACAATAAACCACATAAGTATTGGCATTAGCAATATTACCCTTGTATCCTATCACATTACCATTGTTGCTGATAAATTTTATACTCAATTTAAGATGATAATTTTTTTCTTTAAATCCTCACCCAAGGATATGTTTTTATTGATTTTAGAGAACAAGAGGGAGAGAGAAACATGGATCAGTTGCCTCCTGTATGCACCCTAACCTTGGATGGAAACTGCAACCTGGATGTCTGCCCCAACCTGCAACCAGGAATCAAACCCCGGACTTCCCGGTGTACAGGACCTCGCTTCAACCACTGCGCCACACGGCCAGGGTTAGAGCGAAGGTCACTTATTTGTTCGGCCAAATTTAACAGTGACACAGTCTGTGGTCAGCAGTTTCGTTCTTCCAGGGAAGATCCAATTTTTAAGCCACATTCCTGGCAAAGCAGCATACATTTTAAACCTCACATATTTACCACATGGCTTCCCACCCTCCCCACAATCATTTCTTTTCAATGTTTTGTTTTATGGCTTATTTCTGCTGTGATCTTTTTGTGTAAAGAGACAGAGTTTATTATGTAATTTTGACATCAAAAATTCAGTGGGGGGAGGTGTGCAGGAGGCAGCTGATCGATGTTTCTTTTCATTGATATTTCTGTCTATCCCTCTGTAAAAAATCAACCAATAAATAAAAAAAGTACAATCAATCTTAAAAGGGAAGTAAAACAGTCCTTCTAGTAAGAGCAAGATGTTGGTTTTCTCTGATAAGAATCACCCTGTTTGGTAAGGTCAAGGCTATCAAAAGAGAAAGTACAATAGTAAACTATTTCTTGTTGAAACTATCTCATAACATCCTAGAACTCTTCTCTCCAGTGGTCACAGATATGAATTACAATATACATATTAGAATTATGTCACCTAAAGTTTTTGATAAAAGGTTTTTAAATAAGTAAAAAATGTGGAGGTAGCTTGGAGACAATCTACTAAAAAAATTATACATACTGACACTTAAAAGGTAGAAAGCGTGGGTTCAGAAACAATGAAATATCTTTTTCATTTTTTATTATTTTACTAGAGGCCTGGTACATGAAATTTGTGTGTGTGTGTGTGTGTGTGTGTGTGTGTGTGTGTGGGCGGGCCCTGCAGGGTGTCCCCCAGCCCCGCATGCACCCTCTGGCAGTCCGGAAACCCACAGGGAAGCAGCCTAAGCCGGCAGTCAGACATCCCTCACAGTCCAGAGCCTCCCTTCTCCTTACCGCTCAGTTCACTGCTCCTTAGTGCTGATGCAGAGGCCAGAGAGGCTCCTGCCATCGCTGCTGCGCTCTCCAGCACAGCCATGGGCCTGGCTTCTGGCTGAGCAGGGCTAGCCCTGTAGGAGCACACTGACCACCAGGGAGCACCTTCTGCGTTGAGCATCTGCCCCCTGGTGGTCAGTGTGCATCATAGCAACCAGTCCTTCTGGTCATTCTGCCATAATGGTCACTTAGGCTTCTATTATATAGATATCCTTAATTATGCACATATTGCTGAACCATCTAATCTGTTGTGTGCCTAACTCATAGAAAATGAAGTAACATCTCAGCTCACCCAGAAAGCCTTTGTTCCCAGAGAGTAATATGTAGCAGTACTATTCTGTACTCATCATAGGCAGATCATAAGTTATGATCTCTGAGCACTATGATTATCACTGCTCAGTAAAAACATTACCTTTATGTTCCACATATGGCTCCATATCCAACAGCTCTGAGAAGCCTATGTAGGTATTCAGCTTTTTCTTATGTCCAGTTTGCCTAAGCAAGAGAAAAGCTAATTAGTTATATTTAAAATAATCATAAAACAATGCATAAGCTCTGTCAGCTATCTTAATCAACTCAACAGATTTCTTTCTTCAAGGACCCATATAAGCATACGTAATACTGTCTTTTGGGCAAAATAAACCAATCACTTAAGAGGTATGAATTTAAAGTGCTAATTCCAAACACAGCACTCTTTTCCAGAGCTTTGGATTTGATCACAAAAGGAAACCACAGATTCTCCTGCTTTTTCATGGAAGAAAAGACTGGTTTTAATGATAAAATAAAAGATATGTATTCTCATGGAGGTGAGGGTACCATAAGGAGCAGAAAATGTTACTCTAGTTCTTAATAATACAGAATGCCAAGGTAATTCAGTTTCTACCTAAATGTCTGCTTTTCCTTTGCACCTTAAAAATAATTACTTAGCCGAAACCGGTTTGGCTCAATGGATAGAGCGTCGGCTTGGGGACTGAAGGGTCCCGGGTTCGATTCCGGTCAAGGGCATGTACCTTGGTTGCGGGCATATCCCCAGTAGGGGGTGTGCAAGAGGCAGCTGATCGATGACTCTCTCTCATCGATGTTTCTAGCTCTCTATCTCTCTCCCTTCCTCTCTGTACAAAATCAATAAAATATATTTAAAATAATAATAATAATTACTTAGAATAAAAAGGAGTCTCCACTTTTTCTAGTTCTGAATTTTATGTCTAGCTTCTTTAAGAACTTTGTGATAAAATCATGAAATACGTGCATTTCAAATCAACAGGCTCCATCTATAACTTTCACCCTCAAAGCTAAATGACAAATTATAAGCATTTCATTGCCTGTCTACAGTAAAATCTGCACATTATGCCACAATGAGCTAACAACACTACCACTTGCACATACTTACCTGTCAAAGACAAAACGCATGAGCTGCAAGTTCAGAGTGCAAGGAAGGCTTAGCAGTCGGATTTTCCTCGTTGCATTCTGTTTACTTTGACAGTTTTCGCAGAAGTATCGATTGTCTCCTTCTAGTCTTTCTTCCTAATACGGAATAAGACATGTTTTAAAAACTAGAAGATAGAAAGATTTTTAAAACTGATCACAGAATTTCAGCTTAATTAATAGCTCCCATTCAGACTGTTTAAAACCAAGCTACTCTAAATAATGAAGGACTTATGTAAGATAAAAAGCACTGCTTTCGTCTTTTTAAAATTGATGTGCCTCTTTTCAAACTGTATGATTTTTAAAAAAATATTTGTGTTTGGGTCCTCTGTCCAGTTAATGCAGATTAGAAGATTATAAGGAAATGGGTTTTAGAAGCATAGAACAGACTGCAGAACCTCAGAAAGAAGGGGGAGGTGTGGGAGGGAGAGATCAAAGCACTTGTATGCATATATGCATAACCCATTTGACACAGACAGTAGGGTGGTGAAGGCCTAGGGCGGGTGGTGGGGCATAACAGAAGGGTTCAATGGGGGGGAGGGAGGAAGAAGGGGTCATCTGTAATACTTTCAACAATAAAGATTTAATTAAAAAAAAAAATAGCCATAACCGGTTTGGCTCAGTGGATAGAGCATTGGCCTGCGGACTGAAAGGTCCCGAGTTCGATTCCGGTCAAGGGCACGTACCTTGGTTGCAGGCACATCCCCAGTAGGGGGTGTGCAAGAGGCAGCTGATCGATGACTCTCTCTCATCAACGTTTCTAACTCTCTCTCTTAATTCCTCTCTGTGTAAAATCAATAAAATATATTTAAAAAAATATATAGGTATGCATTTTGATGCAGCTTAATTAATTTAAAAATATTGAATAGGTACAAACTACACTTGGGCACTACAATATAAAATTATTATATCTATCTATCTTTCTACACACACACATGTGCACACACTGTTAAAATTATTGAACCACATAAGAGAAAGATAAGAGTGCAGGAAAATCAATGTTATATATAGCTAAGGGAAGTCTCTTTCTACATTTTTCCTTTTGTTTCTATAAAAGCTTTGATACAGATTACTGTAAATAATACAAGACTGGCACCACCACTTTATTCACTTTTCTCCAGGATCTCACATTCACTTGTTTCCCTCTTAACTCACTGGCCAGTCCTCCTTCTCCTCAGCATCCTCTGCCCACTGCTCCTATCTCCCTGATTTCTTCATGCTTGAATGTCCCAGGTCTCAGTCCTTAGCCCTTGCCTCTTACCCCTGGGGATTTTTTAAAAATATATTTTTATTGATTTCAGAGAGAGGAAGGGAGAGGGAGAAAGAGAGATTGAAACAACAATGATGAGAGAGAATCATTGACTGGTGCCTCCTGCATGCCTCCTTCTGGAGATCGAGCCCACAACTCGAGCATGTGCCCTTGACCAGAATCGAACCTGGGATCCTTTAGTCCGCAGGCTGACACTCTATCCACTGAGCCAAACCAGATAGGGCATCCCCAGGGACTTTATCTAGCTTCAATTTATCCCTCAACTATGCCTCTCAAATGTAGCATGCCCCAGTGCAAACTCCTGATTCCTCTCCCAAACCTGCTCCTCCCACAATCCTCCACATCTGGGTTACGACAACCACATTCTTCCAGGTGCTCAGGCCAACCTTAGTAATCCTTGGTACCTCTTGCTCTCCATATCCAACCTGCAAATCTCATGAGCTCTACTCTGAAAATACACCTAAAATGCAAACACATCATCTCTTCAGCTAACCCTTGGTCCAAACCACCATCAGCCTCTGTCTGCCCTACCCACATCAGCCTCGTATCAAGACAGCACCCAGTTATCCTGTGAAAGAGGCCCCATCCCTCCCACGCTCACAACTCTCCAATGGCGTCTCATCTCACTCTAAGTAAAAGTCAAACTTCTGACAAAGGTGTACCAGGCCCTGTCAAAAACGGTCCTTGGTTGTCTCTACAACTTCATCTCCCGTCATTCTCCCCTTGTTTGTTTCACTTCAGTCACAAAATATCCCAAACACGCTCCTCCCTATTCTTGCATGGCTCACACCATCGCCTTCTGTCACTTTGTTTCTAACTGTAACCAACCTCATCCTCATCCCTGCTTTGCTTTTCTCAACAGCACACGTTATAGTAGACACTCTTTGTATTCTCCTTGTATTTATTGTACTGCCCCGCCCTGATCCCAACACCGTTACACTAGAAGCTGCTTAAAGGCAAAAATGTTTTGTCCGTTTTCCTCACTATGGTTATCCCTGACAGCTGAAACAGTGCCAGAACAGCGACCACTCAACACCTAGCTGAGTGGACTCAACAAATGAGTGTCTCCAGCATCTAATGGTTGTACTAAGGGAGTAGGAAACATACAAAAAAACAGTAAGTTCATCTATTATGTTATGTGTCCGTTCCTACTTGACAGCCAAGGTTTCCGCCTAGCAGCGCCCCCCGCACCCCAACAAAAGGAGACCACTTTCACATCAGTACGTAAATCTAAATATACAGGAAGTAGAACATCAAGGGGCGGACCTGATGAATAACCAGTGATGTAAACACTATTTACATTCAACACATTCTAGCTCTCATTAAATGAAAATGTAAATTAAACAAAGTAACAGCTTCAATTCCCTCAAACACTCTACCACCCCTGATCATACTGGAAGTTTTTATATACAAAAAATAGCCAAAAATTATTTGAAGATGCAGCCTGCTTCAATACTTTATAATTTACTAAGGTTCTTCTAGAATCTAGATCATTACATACCCAGAGACACTTCATATATAAAAAATGTTGAAATGATTTTATCCATTAAATAAAAACCCATTCAGAATAGTATTTAACTGTTAATGAGCAGAAACAATATATACACCAAAACTGAATACCTTCAAAAATTCCGAGATACAATCTGTTAACTGTTTGTGGCCTTGGATATTTAACTCCAGTTCATAAAACTTTGATAAAAGCTTAGATTCTCTGCCACACTGACTGCAACTGCAATAAAATAGTGATAAAATTAAGATCAGGGTGGGAAAAACAAAGTTCTATTGTTTTACATCCTAGAAATACGGATAGAAGCATTTATCCCCTTAGTCCTCTTTCACAGAAATTATTCACACTATCTATATACTTAGTAAATAAGTAAACACAGAAAGTGATTGGGGAGGTCATGTGTTTTATGATTAGGAAAGTTTCTAAGAGTTATTCTATATTTACTCTTAGTATTCTAGCTGACTTTAATCTTACTCTTTCAGCTCATGCCACAGCCATAAAATAAATGGCAAGTGCTAAACTAGACAAGCTTCCCAACACCTGGATGGGTTCAACTGTAACTATCAAGATAGCTGTTTACATGTTCCCATGGCAACGTCTATAAAAATACTTCAGGTCCCATGATAACCCACTAAAGCTATAATCTGGAACTGAACTAAAAATTAGATAACATATGAACGACTGTCTTAAAATCAAAGGTATCAAGGAAAGCCGAGAAACACACTTACACAGTTACATAAGCATATTCCCCACAGAACTGCTGTTGGACAATGTTCCGCACATCTGGATTCTTTTGTTTAGACAAAGTATCTTCCAAAAGCGACATAAAGAGCTTTGAAAATTCTTGGGCATCCTACAAGTTTGGGTTAATAAAAAGAAAAATCGTATCTTGCTTCTCAACTTCTGATACAAATAGAAATATGTTAAACATTCCCAAAACTATCTGTACTTTGAACTATCTGACATTTTCCAACAAGCACTAGAGCTATAATGAATCAGCTTGTGCCCAAAATAGGAATTTTCAGAAATAGGATCAAGAAAAATGTATAATAAATGGAACAGTAAATAAATGCTCTAATTCACGATAGAAAAAATAATTTATAAACTCATTCCCTTCTATAAACATTCCAAGGAATGCTTGGGTACCTGTTTATATTGAAAAAAATAAACACAAGGTTCTTACCTGCTGTTGCCCTGTGTCCAAGCCCAAGGCTTTAACAAATCCCGATGGATCGATGTATCGCCTATTACTGTTTTGCAACAAGGCAAACAAGTACTGGAGATGCTCACAAATTGTTTGAGGCTCATAATCTATTTTTGAAAAATGTTTATGTTTAAAAAACTGCTACTCTTTAAAATGTACTTCATCTTCACATGAGATATAATTAAACACCCTTACATTTAAGCTACACAGTATTTTATTACTGTTTTAAAACTTCAAAAGAAACAAATTCATAACCATGTCTTTTGGAAGTAATGAGGCAGCCAGAGCCGCCTATATACATCCCATGAAAGCAAGAGGCCATATGTACATTTCAACAATCACAGTCATGACTAGTTTCTACAATGTCAAATCACACTGAAAACATTGATTCCCGCAATAAAAACCATATTCCCCGTTCATAAAAGATAGCCAAACACTTTAATGAAATCTCATTAATGTGGACTTGCCATACTCAGAGCAAGTGACAGGAACCTCAAGCCTAGAGTTTCAGATTTGAAGGAAGATTTTGCTGTTAAAAATCTTACAGCAGAAACCGGTTTGGCTCAATGCATTAAGCATTGGTATGCGGACTGAAGGGTCCTAGGATCGATTACAGTCAAGGGCATGTACACTGGTTGCGGGCATATCCCCCGTAGGGGTGGTGGCAAGAGGCAGCTGATCGATGATTCTCTCTCATCGATGTTTCTAACTCTATCACTCTCTTCCTCTCTGTAAAAAATCAACCATATATATATATATATTAATCCTAGAACTTTTGAATAGCAAATTTTAATGAGTTGGGGAAGGTACGCAAACAGGAAGCATGAACCTCAAGGGCCCTAAAAGACGTTGAGTGTTACCTTCTGTGCCAGTTATTAATGTATTGCCATTCTTTGCCTGCTCTACAGTAACAGAGATGAGCTCTGCAAATATTTCTCCTTTGCCAGGAAGGGCAAGGTTAAGTCTTATTGGTAGGAGGCATTGAGAGTTAAGTTATGCCTGTCACCACGCTCCGGGAGGCGCAGCTTCTCAGACTCCGGGTTCCTGCAGCCTCCAGGTGGCCAGGAGCACCCCTCGGTAGCCCCTCTGGTAGCCAGTTTCACTGCAGCATGTGTCTGCTGAGACACTTCCTCCTAAATGACACCCAGTGGATGACCTTCAGGCACCTCTCAGGTGCCTTCAGAGGCTTTTGAGGCATCTCAGCTGTGTCAGGGCATCTAGTGACCATGGCAATGCTCTCTCCAAAGAGGTCGGATCTCCTCCCCAGACTTAATGGCTGATCCCTATGTCTGCTACTCCTGTATTGTTTCAAGTCCTGTTTAATTCTTACTAAACAATTCCCCATTACTTGAATTTCCTGTTAATAATCCCCTTTGCTTTCCCCGTTCAAGTTATTGTGCAGTTTGTCTTCTGATTAAACTGACAGTTTATCTCTTTTGTGACCTCCAGGAAATAAGTTATTTCATTTGCAAAATAAAGATAAAAATCTTACTTCCTGAGGAGCAAGGTCTTTGCACCCTGTTAAAAGCTATCAAGTAGGTCTCATCTATTCCAACTCTTATTTTACAGGCTATAGATACTCCATAAGATCTTCAACTGGTTTTCTGTCTATAAAATAACGGAGTAGCTGAGCTGTGCCTAGAACTCAGATCCCTCCATTCCCAACAGAAGCCTTTCTACTACATAGCTCTGTTGACTTAAGATAGCAGCAGAGCCCTAGTAGGTTTTGCTCGGTGGATAGAGCAGTCAACCTTCGGACTGAAGGGTCCTGGGTTCAATTCGTCATAAGCACATGCCTGGGTTGTGGGCTCAATTACCAGTACGGGGGTGTGCAAGAGGCAGCCGATCAATGATTTTCTCTCATCACTGATGTTTCAATCTCTCCCTTTCCCTTCTTCTCTTTATTTAAAAAATATATATTAAAAAAAAAAAAGATAACAGCAGAAATGTACATGCTTATGAAGAACGTTGGTGAAATATTACAATTTATGTGTTTAGAAAATATATTTAAATTTCATAAAGATACCTAAAGAATTCTGGCAATGGTACACCTTTATGTTTATTTATTTATATACACATATATATATATATTTATATACAAATATATATATATTTATTTATTTATTTTTTTTACAGAGAGAAAGGGATGTGCCCGTAACCAAGGTACATGCCCTTGACCAGAATCGAATCTGGGACCTTTCAGTCCGCAGGCTGAAGCTCTATCCACTGAGCCAAACCGGTTTTGGCTATGGTACATCATTCTATAAAATAAAAATTTAGTTTTCATTTGTTGTTTAACTATCTTCTCATTAGTAAATTTATGCTTCAGCAAAACAATGCTAAAAATTTTTAAATGATCCATTTTTATGATTTCATCCTTTACATACACTATTATCTTAAATATTTAACACACTATTGATCTAGATGTAAATATTCAGAACTATAGAAATAAAGCATTGAGGAAACAAACTTAAGGATTTTTAAACATTGTGTTGTGAAGCAAAGATTACCACTGACAAGCACAAAACCAAGACCCTCAAGTATCACCATTGTCTGAAGGGCTGCAAGATGTGGGGCTTACAAATCCTATCTTTTCCCACTTCTAGCAAAAGAGATTAGCATTGTGCCCTGGCTGGTTTGGCCCAGTGGATAGTGTGTGTGTGGGGGTGGGGGGGGGGGAACGACACGACACACAGGACACTGAAGGGTCCCAGGTTCAATTCCAGTCAAGGGCACATGACTGGGTTGCTGGCTCGCTCCCCAGTAGGGGGCATGCAGAAGGCAGATGATCAATGATTCTATCATTGATGCTTCAACCTCTCTCCCTTTCTTCTCTAAAATCAATAAAAATTAAAAAATACAATGAAGAGGTTAGCATTGTGCCCAAATCAATCATATAAAATACAGCATGAGGTTTACAGATGAACTACTAACTAGGGCCTTGCCCTGGGCTGTATATCGCCCTCATTAGAGTTGACGGTAGCTTCTTAGTGTTATTTGCTTACTTGGCGTTATACTGAACTATTTATTAATTAAAATACATCAAGGTAACAAGCTAGGCAAAAGAGTAACCTTGCCTGCTTTACTGACTGATTTTTATCAGTCATTAGAAATTAATGGACTACAATCACAGCCTATTACTTAGAGAAGTGTACCTGTAAACTACCTAAGAATAATAAAATGTAGCCCAGGTTGGGTAGCTCAGTTGGTTAGAGCATCATCCCGATGCATCCAGGTTGTGAGTTTGATCCTGGGTCTGGACACACACAAGAATCTGAACCAAACCTGGCCAGTTTGGCTCAGTGGATAGAGCATCGGCCGCAGACTCAACGGTCCCAGGTTCGATTCCAGTCAAGGACATGGACCTTGGTTGCGGCACATACCCAGTGGGGAGTGTGCAAGAGGCAGCTGCTTGATGTTTCTCTCATCAATATTTCTAACTCTCTATCCTTCTCTTCAAACAAATCAATTAAAAAATATATATATATATATATATATATATATATATATATATATATATATATAGTATATTCAGAACCAATCAATGAATGCATAAATAAGTGTAACAACATATATTTCTCTCTAAAAATCAATAAAAATTTTTTAAATGTTAAAATTTTTTTTAAAGAATCATCAAATATATTTTCTTCGCTTGAATATTAGCTTTTTTTTTTTTTTTTTTATTGGTTTTAGAGAGAGGAAGGGAGAGGGAGCAGAAGCAATGATGAGAGGGAATCACTGATTGGCTGCTTCCTGCACATCCCCTACTGGGGACCTAGAGATCGAGCCCACAACTCAGGCATGTGCCCTGACCTAGAATCAAACTGTGATCTCCTGGTTCACAGGTCGATGCTCAACTACCTAGCTATACTGGCTGGGCGAGTATTAGCCATTTTTTACATAAATGATAGATACAGAGAAAAAAAGGAAAATGATTTTGAACCCTGACAATGTTTATAGAGAACTACAACCATGCCTGGCATGGAAGGGACACTCGGAAGTAAGTTTCCTCTATTTGGCTGGTTCGGATGTGACTTCCTGGCATACTCATCCCACCCCATCCCATCCCACTGACCTTTCTCTTCCTGGATGCCATCTCCCATCATGTAGTCGCTACAGGTGCTTGGACATAAGTACAGCGCCTGCCGAAGCTCCAAGTTGAGAAACCAGACTTGGAGAAATGTGTTGACGTAACAAGTGGCTCCCAGGTTAGTGAGGCCCACAAATGAGTTCTATAAACATAGAAAATTTACAACTAAAAAAAAGTTATAGGAGGCATCACTTTTTAAATTTCAGGTAATTTTGTTAAAACTGTCTCAACCAACATGGTAGAACCACCTCCAGCCTCTTGGCCAAGGGTAGGACATGGTGTTGATGAAAGCCCTATTTCACACTCACCAGAAACCAATCATGGTTTCTGATCATAGGCAACAAACATAGGATACCATATGAAATCACTTAAAAATGATGGCTCACCTTTTTTCTCCTCTCACAATTGGGATCATCAATGTTATGAAAACTATTTTCATCTATTTCTCCTAACCAAATATGCTCACCAATCCCAACCAAGCAATTTGGGTTTCCTTTGCAGTTTCGTCTATGGAAAAGAAAAAGAAAAAAGTTTAATTTTAAAATACTATAGTTCCATGATAAGAAAAACTCAAATTAAAACTATAATGACATACAGTTTTTTAAAAATCTATTTGTTATCTGTAAGATTAACATAACTGAGAAAGTATTCCACCATACTTAACATTCAGTTTGTGAGTCTATGGAAAACAATGAATTTACTACTAATGAGAATACAAACTGGTAGGACTCTTACAGAGAAGAATTTTGTAGTCTCTTAACAAATCTACATTTATAGCTAACCATTTCATCTCTAAGAATTCACCCTGAAGATACAACTCCTTCAGTGCAAAAACACAAGCACTAGGTCTTTCCTTACAGAACTGTTTGAACTGCAAACTGCTGGAAACAAACTAATGACCAACCAGGGGATATGGTACAAACACATAAGAGTACTATGCAACCGACAGACAAAAGGCAGGAAGAAGCTCTGGAATTCCTAGGCTATATTAGTAAGTGAAAAAAGCAAAGTGCAAAAGAGTACCTACAGTATACTAGTGTGTGAGTGTGTGTGTGTGCGTGTGCGTATGCGTAGCAATAAGAAACACAAGGACAGCCCTGCCAGCGTGGCTCAGTGTTTGAGCGTTGACCTATGAATCAGGAGGTCACTGGTCAATTCTCAGTCAGGGCACATGCCCAAGTTGTGGGCTTGATCCCCAGTGTAGGAGGCAGCTGATCAATGAGTCTCTTATCATTGATATTTCTATCTCTTTCCCTATCTTAAATCAATAAAAATACATTAAAAAAAAAAAAGACAAAGCAGAAACCAATGAAATTGGTTACCTATTAGGATGAGGGTAAAAAAAAAGAGAGATGTGTGACACTTTTTGACTACACTGTTCCATACAGTGTTAAATTCTGACGCGCGTCTCTCTCTCTCTCTCTCTCTCTCTCTCTCTCTCTCTCTCTCTCTCTCTCTCTCTCTCTCTCTCTCTCTCTCTCTCTCTCTCACACACACACACACACACACACACACACAGTCAATAAGGATGGGGGAACCCTAAATTCAACACAAATATATTTTCATAAGAAACATATCCACACTGAAGGATGGGGGGACTAACTCCAGCAACCTGAACAGTGGTCAGCAATCTCAATCAGTAGTGTCTTTAGGGTAAAGACGAAAGGAATAAATTACAAACTCTCAATGGCTTCCTTTCCAGAGACATGGATGAACAATTCTGAAACAATTTCCTATATATTCTACAACTCAACAAAAAGTAAATTTACTGACAAAGGGAACCAAATTTTGGAGAGGAGAGCTAGGAAGGTATAGTATATAGCGAGAAGGCAGAATAGGTTGTCAGGTAAAATACTGGGCAGTACTTATGAGCACACCTAGCAACCAGATCTTTATTTCAAAGTAATCCCCACAAGAAGAACCCGGGGCTCCTTGGAGAAATGGCTGTTGTTAAGGCTGGGCATGGGAAATGGAAAACACAAGATAAACATGGAATATCTGCTGTGCCCAGAGAGTTAAAGATGCACTCAAAGCATGCTGGGACATGTTAAAATCTGGCTCCACTGCCAGATCAGGAACAATTTGATCCAACAAAATAGGTAACAATAGGATTATAAGCTACTGAATAAACTAGGTGTCTACAATGAGATGGGTGGGAAATCTCTAAAGAAAGCCAATTTACAAAGTAAAAGGGCAGAATTAGAAGATCACCATTTGGTGTCCACCAGATTAATTACAGAGTCAGGCAACAATCATCAAGGATGCTAGAATGAGCAAGAAGTTTGAGAAGTAACAGACTCAGCACAAGCTGTTTAGTAATTACAAAGGAAAAGTAGTAGCTTTGAGAGTACAAACGTGGCAGATACACTTGAACCAAGTGATCAAAGTGAAGGTAACCAGCATGCACCTTAACTGACAAATAGGTACTCTAATGCCGTGGGCTTTCTTGGTGTTCTGTTGCTTTCTTTTGCTGTGCAGAAGCTTTTTATCTCTGGGGATATGGCACACACACACCCACTGCGGGGGCTCCGCTCAGCCACAGGCTGGGCTGACAGCGAGCACAGTGGTGGCAGGAGCCTGTCCCACCTGAGGCAGCACATGTCCAGCTGTGGCCTAGGCCCGCTCCCTGTCAGCTGGACATCCTTCAAGGGCTCCCAGAGCAAGGTCTAACTGCCAGAGTCAAGTACCCACCCACCCACATGCACCTCAAAATCGACCCAGACCCAGACCCGGCCAGTCCCACCCTGTCAAGCCCTGCTGGGCAGGAGCCGTAGCCTCAGGTTCCCTGGCTTGGTGCCAGGATTGGGGGGGGGGAGGGGGGGCATGGTCTGAGGTCCCCCTGACCAGGAGGGGGGTGCATTGAGGTCCCCCGTCAAGCCCTGCTGGGTGGGGTCATGGGCTAAGGTTCCCTCTCAAGTGCAGCCTCGGTCCCCCCGGCCCAGCACCAGGAGCGGGGGCACAGCCTTGGCCTGCGTTCCCCGGACCCAGCACTGGGGATGCACCTTGAGGTCCCCCCACCAGCCCCACTGCGTGGGGGGCATAGTCTGAGGTCTCCTGTCAAGCCCTGCCAGGCGAGGGTGCATTCTGATGCCCCCGGCCTGGTGCTGGAGTGGGGGCGCCTGAAGGCCCCTGTAAAGCCCCACGTGGTGGGGGCACAGCCAGAGTTCCCCTATCAAGCCCCAAGGAGGTGGGGGAGGGCGTAGCCTCAGATCCCTGCTGATTGCTCATTAAGGCTCCTTATGGGAACTTGGCCTCTGCCTGTGGGTGACGGTCAGTTAGCATATTGCCTCTTTGTTAGATAGGACTAGAGACATGCACAGTAGGGCCCCTAGGCCTGACCGGTGATCACCCAGCGGGGTGATTTTTTTTTTTTTTTGGGGGGGGTGCCTGCTGGCATTGCCTTGAATGGCCTGGGGCCTGCAAACAGCTTCTGCATTGAGTATCTGCCCCCTGATGGTCAGTGCACACCACAGTGAATGGGTGTTCAACTGGTTGTTCTGCCTTCAGTCAATTTGCAAATTGGGCTTTTATTATGTAGACCTGGAGGCCTCGTGCATGAAATTCATGCACTGGGAGGGATGGAGGGGGGAAGAGGTGTCCCTTGGCCTGGCCTGCATCCTCTCACAGTCTGGGACCCTTCATGGGATGTCCATCTGCCAGCTTAGGCCCCGCTCCCCTGGAGATCAGGCTGATATAAGCCCAGCTGCTGTGGTTCAGTGGTTGAGCACTGACATATGACCCAGGTCATAGGTTAATTCCTGTTCAGAGCAAGCACATGCGTGGATTTGGGGCATGATCCCCAGCAGGGGACAGGAGACAGCTCTCTCTGAAATCAATAAATATATATATATTTTTTAATAAAAAAAAATAGGTGTAATAGGCCTTGTTTGTTTAGATAAAGGTAAATACACTCTAAAAAGGAAATCACCATCTCTGAAGCAGTTCACCGAGCACTTGCTAGCTGCAAATTCAGAGTAAAAAGCTATGCATGCTTCCCATGTTTTTCTACCTCTCAGACTTAGAACTATGGAGTATACCACATATTCCAAAATTAACTGTCTAAGGGTCCACTTAAATATACTGTCTTCCTGGCTTTAAAAAATAATGAAAACTGCAGAAACCGGTTTGGCTCAGCGGTTAAAATATATATAAAAATAAATTTAAAAAAATAAAATGAAAAAAAAAAAAAAGATTTGCAAGAGTCTTGTTTGGTTGATGTGTTAACTATTTGGTTAATTTTCCCCTATATATGCCTCTCTTTTCACTTAGACCTGTTACTTTCTCTAGCAGCAGAGATGTTTCCCATTAGCAGTCATCCAACCTTCTACCCAGCTATGGTGACAGAGTCCAGGAAATCTGTAACTTTTCCATGCCCCTACTTCCCAACTGACAAGGATAAGTAAGTAATTGATTCCAGGTGGACCTTAGATTTAACCACAAAAAATAAACCAATCAGCTTGCAGAAGATAACACAGGACAATACCTTTAGGATCTTGGGGAAAATAGCAATTTATTAAATGAGATACATGCAAAAAAAGCAATCGTCATAAAGAAAAATACTGATAAATTGGACTATACTGGAATTTGAACTTCTGCTAATCAAATATGCCATTTAAGTTAAAAGGCGACCAGTTGGAGTAGCTCTGGTTGAGCATCAACCTATGAACCAGGAGGTCATGGTTCATTTCCCAGTTAGGGCACATGACTGGGTTGTAGGTTCAATCTCTCTCTGAAATCAAATTTTTTAAAATTTTGTTTAAAAAAGAAAATTTAAAAGCTAGCAAGACTAGAAGATATTTTCGTTACAATATATCCAACAAACACTTGTATCAAAATAAACTCCTACAGATCAACAAAATAGCCCCGGCAGGCGTGCTGTTAGTTGAGCCATCATCCTGTGCACCAAAAGGTCACCAGTTCAATTCCTCATAAGAGCACAACCTGGAGTTTTTGGGTTCTATCCCAGTTGGATGGGTACAGGAGGCAACTGATCAATGTTTCTCTCTCACATCATGTTTCTTTCTTTTTTTTTTCTCTCTCTCTCTTCCCCTTCCTCTCTGAAATCAATAAAATTATATTTTAAAATGTATATATAGCATGCAAAGATATAAGAATTTTCATTGCAGCTTTATTCATAATAGCCAAAAACCGAAAAAAACACTAAATGGACCATCACCAGAAGGAAGAATAAAGTATAGAGTAACAAGGGAATACTGTACAGCTCTAACAAGGAACATACTACTGCTACCAACAGGCATGAATCTCACAATGCTGAGCACAAGCCAGACACAGGAGGAGCTACAATGTATACTTAAATGTATACACAAAGTTCAAAATTGGCAAAATCAATTCTATCCAAAATAAGGGCAGTGTTGCTTGTGAGGAGGTGTGGTTGAGTCAACCTCTGAACCAGTTAAGTCATGGTTGATTCTTGGTCAGGGCACATGCCCAGTAAGAGGTGTATGAGAGGCAGCCAATTCATGATTCTCTCATATTGATGCCTCCAT